TTCCAGACTAATGTGGTTTGATCAATCCAGACTGCCTGAAACAGTGTACCAGGTGATCCTACATTCAAAAGAGCTGGACAAAGCAGCCCTACAGACTACAGCCAGGATTTCTGAATCTTCTTCGAATCCCTCATGACAGCGCCCCTTACCAGCAGGAAGTAGTTTGGAAAGAACGACGCCCAAATTCCCAAATATTGTGTATAAATGTTTGTTTTCATTTAATTGGACTTTGTTATATAAAATAAAATATAATAAAAAAAGAATTTAGAACACTGAAAATGAAATTGAAGATATCAGAAGATGGAAAGATCTCCCATGCTCATGGATTGGTAGGATTAATATAGCAAAAGTGGCTATTCTACCAAAAGCAACCTACAAATTCAATGCAATCTCCATTAAAATCCCAACACACTTCTTCACAGATCTAAAAAGAAATTTTCAGGTTCATAATGAAATCACACACACACACACACACACACACACACCAAAACAACAACAACAAAAAACAGGATAGCTAAAACCATCTAACTAATAGGTTTTCTGCACCTACCCCACCCCCATAATAAGTTTCTCCACAAACTCAGTAAGCCAGATCGGGCCGAACTGAAGAAGTGTAACAGCAGGGATATTTGAACAATACAATGCCTAGGTGGGTCCTCCTGTCCAGAGGAGTCAAGTCTCCAAATGAAAGCAGGGAGATTTTAGGGGTTGTCTGCCACAAACTGGGATTGTGCTCAAGAATGGTCAAAAGCTGAGCATTTAGGCGGGGACTTGAGTGGCTGGCAACCTAGTCCCACCAGGTCCTGCCAGAACCTGTTCCCATGCCCCAATGGGCATGGTCAGTGCAACAGGTTCGGGTGGGGTGCATAAGACCAATAAAACAGCTCCTGTTGGTGAGGATATGGATCAAGGCGGACACTCATCCATTTCTTGTGGAAGTGTAAACATGTATAGCTACTTGGAAATCAATGAGGTAGTTTCTCAGGAACGTGGGATTCCAGGCTGTGGTGGTATATACCTTTAATCCCAACAGTCAGTTTAAGCCCCTAGAGACACAGGTGGCTACCCTCCACATACATACCCTACTTTTCTAACAGCCATAATGACAGTTTCCAGCTTTTTGAGGTGGCAAAGTAGTTAGACCCCACCCTACATTAAAAAAAAAAAAAAAAAAAAAAAAAGCTCAAGGGCCACAAAATCCTATCAATGTCTGAGCTTGCCCCAAGATCAGGCCACAAAATCCCTCCAAGCCAAGGCCACCATGGACAGCTCCATCCCGGCCTGCCTGGTCAGTTCTTCTCTGCTTCCCATTGGAGCAGAGTCCTCTAGTGCCCCTCCCAATATGTCTCTTGTGTGGGGTTTGTTGTACAGGTTGTTTGTGCTATTCCTTTGCTCCCAGCAGCATGGATACCTTTCTCTTCAGAGCTGTAACACTTGCATTAGAGAAACATTTTTCCTCAGAGCAGAACTGCAACACCTCCATTGGGGAAGCCTTTCCCCTCAGAGCTGTAACACTTACACCCAGCAGGCAGAGGCAGGCAGATCTCTGATTTCAAGGTCACCTGATCTACAAAACAAATCTGGTTGCATATCCTTAAAATTAAGTTGTTGGAGTAGTGTTGACTCTTCCAAAATTTATAAGTGAAACTGCAACATTTTAGTTGGCTACACAGCTGCTCAAACAGTCTACATTTTCTAGCCACTTCGTAATTCTCGCCAGTGGGATATAAAGGCCCTTAAGTACACAAAAACATGTGCACACTGGTGCACACATGTGCTCACATGCACGCGTCCGTGTGTGCGCGCATACACACACACACACACAGAGGAAAGTGATCAAATTTAAGTCAGTGAAGTGCAAATCAAGACCACAATGATATATTACCTCACATATGGTAGAAATTGATTTTACCAAAAAGTCCCTGGGAGGATAACAAGTGTTGGCAAGGATTTTGTGAAGCCCTGTACACTGTTGATAGGCATGTAAATTAGTATAGACATTATAGAAGTCCTTGAAATTTAGAAGCAAACTGTATGATTTGGCAACATTATCAATAGGTCATTAATGAAAAAATTAAATCAATATGGCAAATAGATGTTTGATTGAATTTGTTAGCACACACCTGCAAATTTGGCATTTGAGAAACAGAACCAGGGTTATCTCAAGTTTGAGGCCAGCTTGATTGGCATATCAGGTTTCAGTTCAGCTAGAGCTACATAGCAAGACCTTGTCTCAGAAAGGTGGGTCAACCAGAAGCTCCAGCTGGTAAAGCACATGGTACCAATCCTGACAAGCTAGTTCAATCTGAAAGTCCCATGGAGTTTGTTTTTGCCATAAATGTGTAAATATTACACAAATGTGTAGGAATATATATATGGCCTTACTATCTTGCTTTAGCCATTCTACAATGTATCTTTAAGATTTATTTTCTATTTTCTTTTGGTTGGTTTTTTTATTTTGAGACAGGGATTCTCTGTGTAGCCCTGATTTTCCTGGGACTTGCTCTATTGACCATCCTGGCCTCGAACTCACAGAGATCTGCCTGCCTCTGCCTCCTGCTGGGATAAAGGCATGCACCACCACCTCCTGGCTTAAGGTTTGTATTCCATTCCATGTATGATGAGGAAGGAAGAGAGAGATCCTCAACCATATCAGAAGCAAAGATAAAAAAAGATGGCAAAGTGACTCTTCCAGTCCAAGACTACCCATAAAATTTGAAATTTTCATCATGTCACAGGTGACAAGGCCTGCCCTATTTTTTATTTTGTTTTGTTTTGATTTTGACATAGGGTCTCACCGTGTCTCTGGCTGGCCTCAAACTCAGAGATTCCCCTGCCTCCTGGGAGCTAGAGTTAAAAGTGTACACCACTACTCATGGATTTTTTAAGTATTTATTTTTATTTTATGTTTATGAGTGTTTTGTCTGCATGCATGAAAGTATGCCATGTTTGTCCAGGGATTCTAGAAGAAGGTGTCAACCCCCCCTGCCACCATGCGGATGCTGGGAACAACTCAGGTCCTCTGTAAGAGCAGTAGATTCTGAGTCATCTCTTCAGCACCTAACAATTTCCTTCTTTTTAAAAATGTGTATATGTACCACATTTTCTCAGCCCGTTCATCCATAACTGAACACTTAAGTCAACTCCTTAGCTAATGTGAAGGATGCAGGGATGCAAAGCACGGGAGTGCACACATCTCTTTGATGTATTGTCTCATTTCCCTTGAGGTATATACCAGTAGCAGAATTTCTGGGATAGGGTCGCATGGTAGCTTGGTCTTTGTTCATTTCTTTCTTCCTTGTGTGGGGGAGATTTCACACATAGTTTTCCATAATGCCTGTACTATTTTACATGTAAATGCATTTTTACATTGCAACACACAGCTTGGTCATCTATCTGCAAAGTTCATGCTGAAAAACTTTGCAATCAAGTTACAAATTTTCAAAAAAAATGTTTCACAATTTTGTGTTAAGCAGAATTCATAGCTATCCTGGGATCCATGTGGTTTTAGACTGCTTTCTTTGGGTTTTAGTGTTCCAGAGCAAACATGGAGCTTCCTGTGTGCTAGGCAAGCACTCTGCCATGATATATATCCCTGGGCCCCAAACTTTAGCTATTTGAGCTTTAAACGGAAAAGACTACATAACTCACTCTCTGAAGTCCCTTTCTGTAAAAGTGTGTTCTAGGAAAGATGGAAGTGAGCTGTGTATGGTGTTAACTGCCTTTAGTCCCAGCACTTGCAATGTGGAGCCAGCAGGATCAGGCTGTACCTAGAAGAGAAAAACAGCTACATAGGAATTCGAGGCTGTCTTTTGTTGGGGAATATTATCTTAAGGTGTTTGACTTTTGTTTATGCGGCATTTGTTTAATTTTGTGAAGCTGTGTTATTGTTCCTGTCTAAAACACCTGGTGGTCCTAATAAAGAACTGAACGGTCAATAGCTAAGTCAGGAGCAAATGTAGGTGGGGCTGGCAGAGAGTATAAATACAAGGAGAACACAGAAAAGACAGGCAAGAGGAGAGGAGGATGTAAGCAAGAGGAGAGGAGGACGTCAGGGGCCAGCCACCCAACCATCTAGCTACACAGCAATCCGCGGAGTAAGAGGAAGATTTACAGAACAGGGAAAGTCCAGAGGCAAAAGGTAGACTGGGATAATTTAAGGTAAGAAAAGATGGCTAGAAATGAGTCAAGTTAAGGCCAGATATTCATAACTAAGAATAAGCTTCCGTGTGTGAATCATTTGGGAGCTGGGTGCCGGCACCTCAAAAAACTAAAAGAGCGAAAACATCACTCAACAGTCCCACTCCCAAGAGAATGAAATATCAAAGTGATGAGGGAAAAGCTACCAACACTATCCAAAGTGACATCGCGTGTTTATTGCAACAGTGACTGATACACATGGGGACTCCAATAGTTAAGTTCTGGTCTCTTTAAATCTCTGCTTACAAACAGGCCTATTAGTGGACAGACTGCTTTGGATCTTGCCAAAACCAACGAATGACAGTCAACATAAAGTCTATTTCTGACCTCCAATCCACTTCCTTCAGTGCTCTAAGACTGACAGCCTTCCACCTTAACACTGATGTCATTTCCCACAATATATCCAGTTTACAGTATGTTTCTAACTGCCAGTCAACGCCCTACCAGATCATAGAATTTTTGTTTTGCCTAAGCAATTTATACCAAAATGAGCTCCCTTTACCTCCCCACACATTCCTCTTGTGCACTCCGCGTTGGTCATCTAAGATCAATCGCTGAGGATATAGTTGCTAAGAGACAGGACGCTGAGAGGGTGGGGACGCTGCAATGCGACAGGCAGGAGTTGAAGGCCAGAGAGGGCAGGATTAGGAGCAGGCTAGGCGGAGAGGTGAGCTGAGCTCTGGACCGCACCCTCCCTCCCGCAGGAGCTCATCGCTCATTGGCTCCTCAGCTGTGGCGCTAGCCTGCGATTGGCTGGAAAACTGGCGCTCCGCCCCCCGATGGTGCGGGCAGCCGGCTAGCGGGTGCGGGCGCGGGCGGGGTGCGGCGGCGGCGCGTGAGGCCGCCCCAGCCGGGCTTCGGCGCCGACTGCACCGTTCGGGGCGCGAGCGCGGGCGGTGCCGGACACTGCAGGCGACACGGGCGCAGTGAGGGCCGCCGCGGCGCTGTGGAGGTGAGAGAGATGCCGGGAGGCTGAGCCACCCAGGCGGGAGCTGGAAGTGGGGCGAGGGCCGGGAGCGGCGCTGCCCCATCCCGGCGGGCGGGCCGGCGGGCCGTGCGTGGCCCCGCTGCCCGGAAGCCCGCGGACGCTCGGGCGCTGCGCTCTGCCCCGTCCCGCCCGCGCGCCTGGCGACTGAGCCCAGCTTCGGCCGCCGGACTCCGGCCCTGTGGTCCCCGCCTGGCTCCTGTCCAACGCCTTTGTCTGCCCCTTGCCAGCCCGAGCCCCGACTCGACGCCCACGCCGGGGAATCCGGGCCGGAGGACGCGCCGCGCAGGGAGCCTCGGACCTGGGGTCGGCAGGGCTGCTCCTCCGGGTGGGAAGCGATGCTACGTCTTTGAGAATCAGAGCCAACCGCCCCGGTTCTCAGTTCTGGACCAGGGTCAGGAAGTCTGTTCTTCTAGTTTGGAATGAGTCAGTGTTACCAGACTCCCTCTGTTGTGCCAGAGGCCTTCCACCTGTCCCAGCGTCCCCCTTCCTTCTGCCTAGGGGAAAATGTCAAGAGCCCCTTCTTCATTGTAACATGGAAAACAGATGCTTGTTATGGACAGAGAAAGTGACTTAGATTGTAATGTTTTTGCATGTGAATAAACCAAAATAAGGAAATAAGTTATGCTTTAAAAGTATGTGTTAAACAATAGAATTTTAAATTTGGGGTAAATAATTCCTCATGCCTTTTAAAACACTTTTAGCATATGGTTAGAGGATAATTTTGAGCTTCAGACTTTTCTTTTGGTCATAGTTTTTCATATATTATACCTTTTTCTAGAATGAGATGCTGAGAGCCACTATATGCTTTATTAAAGATTACTCGTCAATGCTTTACCTTTCATACTTATATTGAAACCCTAAAAGAAACATTCTCATAGATTAACAAGAATACAGAATATTTTTCCCCTTGAAAGATTGAGTTGTGTCAACAGAAAAAAAAATCACACCTAAATTACTTAAATCAGCTATAAACACAGATGCATGAGAATCATTTGAAATATACATTTTAAAGAATTTGATGGAGCAATATTATTGAAATTTTAATTAAGGACTGGGGATTTATTTAGCTCACTGGTATACTATCCTCATCCCCACCACCAAAAACAGAAAAACAATATTAATTGAATAAAACAGCATAGTATACAAGGGGGTTTTGTCTTGATTTTTACTTTAGACTGTTTTCTTACTTTTATTTTTTTTCTAAGTGCTGGGCATCATACTCCGGGTCTCACACATTAGGCAAGAATTCGTCTACATTCCTAGATCCTAAATGTCTGTTAAGGTTCCAACAAACTATAAACCCCCCCCCTTTCCAAATCATGTGCTAAAAAAAGGGATGTGGGACTGGAGGGATAGCTCAAAGGTTAAGAGCACTGACCAATCTTCCAGAGGTCCTGAGTTCAATTCCCAGCAACCACATGGTGGCTCATATCAAATGAAATTTGGTGCCCTCTTCTGGCCTGCAGGAGGCAGAATGTTATATGCGTAATAAATGAATCTTAAAAAAAAAAAAAAAAAAAAAAAAAAAAAAGGATGCATATATTGCTCATGTAAGTAAAGAACAGTGTTTTATTCACTGAAAATTAAGATTGCCACATTTATTTTTGTACAGTGTATATACTTACATAGTCTCGTAGATTGTGGATCTTCAACTTGGAGTGGGTTCCTAAACATATATTAAGTTTCTTTGAAGTTTTGTGACTTTATTAACTCAGCACACATTTTTGGCACTATCTGCTTTGCTGGTCCTTCTAAGGACTCAGTGATAAAAGGCCCAGCCTAAGAGTTGGGTGTGTCAGTATACATCTGTAATCCCTATGCTCTGGAAGCTGAGGCAAGAGGATCAAGAGGTAGAAGCTAGCCAGGGCAACAAAGCAAGATAAAAATGAAATTCTGTCCTGGGCAGTGCTTTCTGAGTGACTCAACTAATTCTTGAAAAAATTTTAAGTCAGTAATGGCCAAAGTATAAGGACAAATAATAGTCGTGATAAATTGTGGCACACATTTTACACCCAGACATAGTGCTGGTGCTTTAATGGTATTATTTAATTCTTACAATAATCTTAAAGGTTGTTGTTATTTTCCTTATAGCTGAAACAATTGAAGCCCCAGGTTGCACTGCTAGAAAAGGTAAAGCTGGGTAAGTATCCGTAGCCCACTTTATTCCTTTTATTGGCAGCATGCTTCACTTTATAGCTTATTAATCTATGAATCTATTTAATCCAAGGATCTCAGAAATGCTAACACTACTGCTACAAGCTTCCAGTCTTCATACTGTACCAGTGCCTGTAAAGCAGCCTGGAAATACAGAAGCTTCCTACCATTTTACCTTTGTTTTGCAGATGAGGAAATGGAGACACAAATTATTTGGACTAGATAATGTCTTCGTGATTAAAACCAGGATCCGCAGTTGGATGGCCTCACATCAGAATCTGTACTTGTAACTACTACACTGTACAGAACCTTCAATAAGGTATGTCTCTGGAAGCCATGATGTTAGAGTACAAACTGTTTTTGTGTTTCTTATATGTTTTTTATTTATTTTTATTTTTTGTGTGTTTGCTTGCGTGTATCTGTGTGCATCATATACATGCCTAGCGCCCATGAAGGCCAGAAGAGAGTGTTATAGCCCTGTAACTGGAGTTATGGACAGTCATAAGAAACCACCTGGGTGCTGAACCAAATCCAGGTCTTGCTCAAAAACATCGAGTACTCTTAACTGATGAGCCATCGCTAAAGCCCATTGCTTTTTAATGCTTCTGCAAACACTTAGGATTGTTATCTTAGCTACCGTTTTGTGTCCTGTGGCTGTGTTTTCTGTAAGCAGCTGCCTAATTCTTGCTACTCACTTGCTTCTACATTGCCACTCTAAGGTAATTTAAATATCACAATCCTAGGAAGTAATCCTGTCTTTATGTATCACGTCTCATTTGTGAGGTGCTTTTATTATCTTCAGAGCACCCTCACAGAGTGATCCCTTTCATTCTTTCTGCACTGCCAGTCATAAGGCTTTTAATTTAATTTTATTGCTGCAGGTCAATAAATTTAGGTGGCTTATCTTGATTGGCATGTGGTGATAGCAAAACTCAAACCAGACCTTGCGGCTCTGGGCACGCTGCTCTTGGCCTATTAGTGATCTCTACATTGTGCTGTATTTTTTCTGTAGAAAAGTTTATCTTTTCAAGTGCCATTCCCAGCCTACAACCCAATAACAGTTAAACTATAAACATGACTAGCCATAAACCTTCACCATTGTTTTCTTTTTTTCTATAATTTTGTATTACAACTTCAGCTGCAGTGCCTGACACATAATGGAGTATTCCTAAATCCTTGGATAAAATAATGTATCTTAAATCAGTTGACATAAAGAGCTTCCTAAAATATTTTAACTTTGGATGGGGAATTTCTGTTTCTTGTCTTTCTTTTTGTAATATCCCCCACCCACCTCAGGGGCCAAAGCTTCCACAGCTGTCTCATTGAAATATAACTGGCTTTACAGTTTATTAGTCTGTGTCCTTTTCCATATTAAACCATTATCTCCAACTCTCTACTTCTCCATACCATACTCTCATATAGAATGGAAAGAACTTTCTTATTAGGTCTTATTATGGCATTGTATAAATTACTTAGCTCCTTCAAATCTGTTTCCTTCCATTGCAAAATTAGGAAGAGCTATTACAGACTTGTCTGCCTCTCCAGGGTGTGACCCCATTTTGGCTCTTGGCTAAAATAATGTTACTATGATGTTACATTATCAGTTTTTTCTGCCTGTATCCATTGCCAGGTCAATCAGGTCAGTTGTACATTGCTTCAGAATAGAATGGCTGAAAAGAACTTCCCAAAGTGAAGTTGTTTCAAACATATAAAAATAAGAGTAGGTAATAGTTACTGATATGATTACAGTAACCACGGGCACATTAACTTCCCTGCTAAGTTGCCAGGCTGTTTCTTATTATGTCTATAAAAGTTCAGTATGCTCAGCCATCATTATTTGTACCATGAACATCCACTCGGGAAAGTAGAAGGGAGGTTATTTTAGAACAGAATGAAATTATAACTTTTTAGCAAGTTACATGTTTCAGTTTCCTCATGGTTTGATTAAATTATTTATGAATAGTCAGTGTATAAGCCAGACATGCTTAGTGAGTTTTTAGGAAAAGAAATTAAACTCAACTTTTCCTGGACATTTTATTTGGAAAAAGTTTTAACATATAGCAGAGTCAGACAGATTTTTTTAGTAAACACCCAAACGCTTGCCACTTGGAGTCTGTCATTAAGATTCTATCTTTTTATTGCATATTTAATCCATTTGTCCATCCCATCTTTCAAGTCATAATATCATAAAGCCTTTATGTTTGAAGAGATTTTGAGTGTATATTCTGTGTTTTAAGTTTTATTTTTTTTCTCTATATAATGACAGGTAATATTTAGGAATGGATTCTAACTAGTTTACAGTGTTCTGGAAACATCTAAATTTCAGATGTAATAAGACTATTTTTTCCCTATTTCTAGGTCCAAAAGATGAGTCGTGGGTATCCAGAAAACAATAATTTCCTGAATAATAATAACCAAATGGTATTAGATATGATCCTTTATCCATTAATAGGAATTCCTCAGACCATCAACTGGGAAACTGTGGCAAGGCTTGTGCCTGGTTTAACGCCCAAAGAGGTAAGTAACAGTCCCCCAGAAACCTCCTAAAATGACAACAGCAATACTAAGAACAGAACCCCCCAAAATGTGATATTTAAAGAAACACCTAAGTGAAAAAAAATTTTACAGTTTTTTTTTATTTCTTTTTATATTTATTTATGTGTATGAGTGTTTTGTCTGCATGTGTGTCTGTGCACCACATTTGTGTAGTGCCCAAAGAGACCAGAAGAGGGCATCAGATTCTCTGGAAATTGAGTTTAATTTCAGTCTTCTAGACTGAGGGAGGTAAATCTCTGAGTTCAAGGCCAGCCTGGTCTACAGATCAAGTTCCAGGACAGCTAGGACTACACGGAAAAATGCTGTCTAAATAAATAAATAATAGTATTTTTTAAAATGCTCATCACTAAGGGAAAAAATACTAAAATAGAGAAGACTAAAATAGAGGAAAAATGCATTAGTGCTAAGAGAAGGCAAATAATGTAAGAACACAGGTTGGCCTCAAACTCTTGTCTGCCTGCCTCTGCTGGGATTAAGGGTGTGTAGCACCATCACCCAGCCATGATGGACATTTAAATTATTTCTTGGTATAAATTACATTTTAATGAGAAAAGAAAAATGGGCTGTGAAATTCTGAGAACCTAGTCATCCTGATAACCTAGTTGATTGTATTAGTTTTAATCTCAGATTCAAACTTAAATTTAAGAATTCTTATAGGGAGCACATATAGAGTCTTGTAGTTCATTCATGGATACTAGTTTGAAAATCACACACCAGCCTTTTGATGCATTTTGGTTTTGTTATTGTTTGTTTTTTAGACATGGTTTCTCTGTGTAACAGCTCTGGCTGTCCTGGAACTCACTATGTAAACCAGGCTGGCTTCGAACCCAGAGCTCTGTCTTCCTGTGCCTAAGTGCTGGGGTTAAAGGCATGTGCCATCTCCATCTAGGGTTTTTGGTTTTGTTTTTAAGAAATTTTGCAACATAACCCAGGATGAACTATGTTCTGCCTTAACCTCCAAAATATTGGGATTATATGTAACTACTATGTAACCCAGGCTGTCCTGGAACTCTTGTAAAGATTCACCTGTCTCAGCCTCTGGGATCCTGGGATTACAGTATCTATAATTCTACTGATGGTTTCATTTTGACTTCCTTACTTTTTTTGTTTTGTTTTCTTGTTTTGTTTCTTGAGTTTAGGACTTCTAATCTGTTTTACTGCCACTAACGTAAAAATCATGGTAAAATACTCCATCTTTTCAGTCCTGACAGAGACAAAAAAACAACAAAACTATTTGTATAAAAAATGGTTATGTATATGAGATGAAACAGAAGGAATTCAATTATGAACTCAAAACTTACCAAGAAAGGTCATGGTTGTTATTTATCTCCTTTAAAAGTATATGTGAATATCAGTCAAGCCCAGCAGGGTGTGTGTCTTAAAGTGCTACTTATATGTGTTCTACTACAAATAGTCTTGAAATGCCCTCGGGATGCTCTGCCATCAAATGAGTGACAGTGCAGACATTTCTTTCAAATAGAAGAGGGTAAAACAAGGACATAATTAAGAGAGAGAAAAAAAGATTGGAATTTACCTTCTTTCTTTGTAGCCTGCCCCCTCCCTTCTCTGTGGCCTCAGCTGTGATTTTAATGCCACCTTCACCATTAGATTTCACCGAGACATGTGAGGATCAATCCTTAGTACGACAACAGCCTGAGATAGGCTTTAGAAGAGGTGGTGTAGGAAAAGTAAAATGTAATATCACAAATCAGATCCTTCCAGAGTTGCTTCCCATTGGAAGTTGGAACTAGATTTCATTAGGGTTAGGGTTTAGTGTCTTGTCTCTGTATCTGACCTTATTTTCAATTCCTAATCCTAGGTTAGGATAAAGTCTGTGTTCATATCACTCAGAACAGGCCTAGACTCATTTGATCTCCAGAGCTAAACAAGATCAGGCCTGGTTAATACTTAAGTGATGGGGGAATTAGGTATTATACCCAGCGGAAACATAGTTAATACAAAAATAAAAGCCAGTTGCTAATATTGTCAACTGATTAACAGATGTATACCAAAGGGAAATATGGGTAATAAAGATAATCTTTTCTCTTCCAGAGCATAAAATATGTTCCTTTGAGTTAAGCAGTTTTAATTTTGTTTACTAAAATATTTCATGTCTATGGATGTTTTGTCTGCATGTATGTCTGGTGTCCTTTGGAGGCCCTTGGACTGGTGAGCAGCAGTGTGGGTCATGGGAATTGAACCTGGGATCTTTGAAAGAGCCTGTGCTCTTAACCACTGAGCTATCTCTTCCAAGTCCATCCAAGATAACACATTTTAAACAACAAATTCTACTCTGAATTCTAAAGGTGGGGGGAAAATAAGTTGCAGAATTTTATATATTGAAATATACAAATTTTGAAGCTGTTTCCCCCCCTCAACAAATTAATAAACACACACACTAGAAAAGTATCTTTTGGGGCCAGAAAGATGGTCATGGTTAAGAGCACTTGGTACTTTTGCAAGTGACCCAAGTTCAGTTACAGCACTCATACAGAGGCTCATAACCACCTCTAATCCCACTACTGGGGGGATCCAAAACCCTCTCATGGTTTCTGTGGGCTAAAGGCACTCACATGGTGTATATACATACATACATATATGTATGCATACATGCATGCATGGAAAACACTTATACACATTAAGTAAGGTAAATAAATCTAAGATCATTTAAAAAAAGTATCCTTAACTAGAAGAGAAAATATCTTTTTTTTCCATTAATCTTTTTTACTTTGCCGTATCTGTAGTTATATAACCTTAATGATTGAAGTTGATTTTTCGTAACCATGAATAAATATATCTTCTCTCCTACAGGTTAGATCATTCAGTAATATTTCATTAAAATTCATTGGTTGAAGATTATAATTCATGATTATTTAATGATTGCTTTTATAATATTACTCAATGATAATATCATGTATTAAGACAGTAAGCTTATATAAAATCATTATGTGCTTTTTAAACTCTTGGTTAGCACAGGAAGTACCATTCTGGCATTTAAATAGAGTGATTTTTTTTAATGTAATCATCATATTTACCGTCTTGTATCATCACAGTGTGCAAAAAGGTTTGACGAGCTGAAGAGCAGTGGAAGCTCACCCGTTGACAACCAGTGTAACCCCTCAGTGGTAGCTGCAGGGGGCCCCATTGAGTCTTTAGCCACTTACATTAAATCTTCGCTTCTGGAAACACAAGGAGATTTTCAGGAGACTCCAGTTGATCAAGATACAGTTTCCAAAGCAGGTAAGGTTGTAAAATAAAATTACAGTACTTGTCCTCATGAAATTTCTACATTTACACATTCTAGTCAACCTTTCCTTTCTTTGTTTAAAGGCCAATTCAAATACTTGTGTAAAAATCTGTTAGTATTTTTGTTTTTATGAATGTTTAAAAACTTCTTATTGTCTTTGTTGTTTTTCAAAAACCTTAACTGTGAATATGTAGGTCAAGTAATATTTCTAAAGCAAAGTGTTAACTATATAAATAATTTATTCTAGTTTGTCAATCTAGTTTCTCACATACTGTTTGTTTGCTGTAATCTTGTTTTTTTGAAAAAGGGTGTCATGTAACCCAGGCTGGCCTTGAACTCAGTATGTAGCTAAGAATGAACTTGAACTTCTGAGTTTCCTGCTTCCCATCTCTAAGTACTGAGAGAGGTAATGTGTCACCATGCCCAGCTTATGCAGTGCTGGGAATTAACCTCAGTCATGCTAGACAAGCCTTCCACCAGCTGGACTGTGTTCCTCGTCTTCATTTACTTATTTTAAATTAATTTAGCAGGGAATTTTTATAGCAAATTTATATTCCATTTTCTCTCCTATGCTCATAGTTTATTTGTAGATTTTCTACTTAAAGAATAATAATTTTTCCCCCCAGAACTAAAACAATGTGAAGTTTTAAGTCCAGCTGTGCTCTGACTTGTTTTTTACTTTAACTTTTTCATGTAGCCCAGGCTAGCCTAAAACTTGTTATGTAGCTGAGGATGACCTCATGTACCACCATGTTTGAATACTTTTAAAAGTATTTGTTTATTTAATTTTTTTGTTTTTTGAGATAGAATATTTCTGTGTAGCCTTGGCTGTCCCAGAACTTACTCTGTAAACCAGGGTGGTCTAGAACTCACTGAGATCCACCTACCACTGCCTCACAACTGCTGGGATTATGGGCATATACTACCATGCCAGGCTACTTTAAAAAAAAAAAAGGAAAATCTTGCTCATCTCTTACATAATCTTTTTTAACAGCCATTCTATAGTGCAGTAAACAGAGGTTCAAGTATGTGGCCCAGTGACCAGGTTGAAGAGATCTTCTCAGGGTCACATTTGGAAGTCACTGTTTTAGGAGTCCTCAGAATGAGTTCCTTTCATTTCAGCAACAGAATACTGAAATAGAGATGTACTTCAGGAAGAAGAGACCGCTGTGCTTTTGAACACTTGGACTAGTTTGGAATGCCACATCTTTTGAGAATGTTCACTGTGGCGTTGGCAGCTTGTGGCTCACTTTTGTAAATGCCTCCTGACAGATACCATCTTAACTGGCCTTGGAAACCATGTGTTTACCTTGCTACCATCCCATAAGTAAAACCCACTCTTAGTAGAGATGCTAACCCACCCCCTTTTTTGTATGTGTCTGTTTCTATATTTAAGGAAGACATAGTGTAGCTTCCGCAAGAAATTGCTCTTCAGAGAGTGAAAACTGCACGACTCGTAATGCTGGAGAGAAGACTGAAGAATCTGAAGGGTAGGAGGCTTGTTATTTGCTAGATAAGATTTAATATTAATATTACCTATAACCATAAAAGTATATGATTGGTGCTTACAAATATCGGTTATCATACTTCAGTAATTTCACATTACATAATTGCTGAAACATTGGAATCAGATTCATGTATGTGTTGAACAACAAAACTAGATTAATACCCAAACATATACTTGCTTGTGTTATTTATAAGTTATGGAGATTTTTCATTCTTGAAAACTAATTGGCATATTTTTAAAAATTAGAAATAACATACTTTAGTCTTGTGGGTTTTTTGTTTGTTTGTTTTTGTTTGCTTTTTTTTTTTTTGGTTTCTCTGTTTGCTTTAGAGCCTGTCACTCTGCAGACCAGGCTGGCCTCGAATTCACAGAGATCTGCCTGCCTCTGCCTCCCAAGTGCTGGGATTAAAGGCGTGTGCCACCAATACCTGGCAGAAATAACATAATTTGGAAAGTAAATTTCAATGCCCAAAGCAAAACCTAAACTAAGTAATTAGTTCTTTAACTTTATTAATGAGATTAGATATATATTTTAGAACTGTTTAATATAGTTGCTTTACAAATATTAAAAATCAGAATGTATTTCAGTATGCTTCAAGTTTTAATATTTTGTTGTGTATTTTCTATATAATAAATTGCATCCATGGTAAATGTTTACTTTGCTTTGGCAAATAGTACACCATATAACTATCACGTAGTTTATATGCAAAGTATTTTTGTCATTTATAAAATTTCTTTCCTGCACCTCTAATTTTGGTAGATTTATAGTAATAACAGTTTTATTAATACAAAGTTCACATACCACAGAATTCACCTACCTGCTACATCCTTCTCTCCGGCTCTCTTTTCTACCTTGTATGAAGGATTGAGCCTAGGGTATTGCACACACCAGGGAAGCACTCAGCCCTTTTAAAGTTTATTTTGAGTCAGAGTCCAACCAGGTTTCCCAGGTAGCTTGACCTTGAGCATTCCCTCTCCATAAACAAGAGTGCCATAGTGAGGATGTGTGTCATGAGCGAAAATGGACATCAAAGGATAGTGGGTAGGAAATCAGTTGTCTCCACCACCATGTGGACCCCAGGGATTAAAATGCAGCCGTCAGGCAGGCTTGGCATCAAGTGCTCTTTCCATCTTGTTGGCCCAGTTTTGATTTGGAGAGAACAATGATTCTAATACTTCTTCTCATATCCTAACTTTATATGAAACACTTACTTTGTATTTGGATTTTGTAAAACTGAACTATGCACAGAGTGATTCACATCTGTAGTGTACTGTACCCCTGTTACTCCCTTTTTGTTATGGCATGAAGACAGTGCATCACACTGTTTTGGTTGTTCGTTTGTTTTTATGTATTCTGTTTGTGTATATGAAGCTGTATGTGTGGAAGCAAGATGATTCTCTCTGTCCTGGAACTTTCCAGTTGGCTAAGCTGGATGTGGCCGAGTCCTAAGGATCTGTCTTGGTCTCCCCAGCACACTGTGCTTTTTGAAATGGGTTCTAGGAATTCAGCTCCATCCAGCTGAGCTATACCTTACCCCTACTTTTTCTTTTTTAGTTGACTTTGGCATTTTGAGACAGGGCCTCAGTCTGTGACCCAGTGTAGCATGGTATTTACTATGTAGTACAGGCTGGCCTCCAGTTGATGGTAATCCTAACATTTCAGGTTCTCATGCCCTAGGACTACACATGTGAGCTGCTATACCTAGCAAAATACATCACTCTCAAAGAAGATAAATTCAAGGAGTATGTAGTTTTTGAAGCAAACTTTCAGATATATTATCTAAATTTACTAAATTATTTTATGTAGATAAGTACACAATGTTAAGAATTCTTGTAACTGTATATATATCATGAATGCCTGAACCCAAACATTGTTGATGCTAAAGTAAGTGATACTGGTTTTTAATTTGGTTGTTCACAGAATCATAGGTAGTTTTCCTTTTTTCAAAAGTATAAAGTTGTTAGTCATTATACAAGAATCAAAGTCTGTTATTTAGTTCTTTGGGAATTGAAACTTGAACAATAAAATTGAAGCCGTGTAAAGCATTAGTTCCTTAGTAACAATACTTTGTATTTATTAAGTGAATGGCTTAATAAAATTAATCATAATCTGAGGCACGATCAAATAGACAAGAAACTTGAGAAATTCTGAACATCAAACCCAGGGTTCTGTGTGTCAAATCTTCAGAGCCACCTTGTTGTCTTACTGCTTACTCCTCATTCTCTGACAAATCTCATTTCTGTGTAACATTTTCTTTATGAAGGCCAAACATGGTGATCCATGTATGTGATGAAGCAAAAAACTTGAAGGAAGATTTTATTTGCCCGCGAGATCTTTTGATATCAGAGATGAAGTACTTTGCTGAATATTTATCTATGGATGCCCAGCGCTGGGAAGAGGTGGACATTTCGGTTCATTGTGACGTTCACATTTTCAACTGGTTGATAAAATACGTTAAAAGGAACACTAAGGAGAGTAAAGATTGTGAGATTCCCACTTTAGGTAAAAATAAAATATATGTATATATATATATATATATATATATATTGTTTATTTTGTGGTGAAATTTGTGTGCCACCTAGTAGCTGTTTCAGGTCCAAACTGAGATGGAGAAGTTTATTTGAATATTAGTATTTATGCTCATATTACAGAAACTGGTACTTTATCTGTCCTAGAAAGGGTCCTGGGGACTCTTTAAAAGGCCTACAAGGTTAACAAAGTTTATGTAACAATACCAAGATGTCACTCACTTTTTTCTCTATGTCAAGGTTTGTTCAAAATATGAAAAGGAAATGATGTGCAAGATTGTTGAGCTTTATAGCCCAAATCAAAGCAGACACAGCAAGCTGTATCATTGTTTTCTTCAATACTGTGCACTCAGTTAAAAGGGAAAGGGAAAAAATGTAGGCTCACTTGTTTTGATGAAGCATAAGAGTGACTGTTAAATCTCAGCCCTCGGGTGTACATCCTTTCCTGGACTGTCATAGTCCTGCACTGCTGATGCACTACAGTGCCCCACTGTCTTGAGGGAAAGCATTTGTACAGCTGAGCTATGAGCTAACTCAACCAAATTAAAAGTAGACGTTATGACAGGTTCTTGATAGATTATTTTCTTTTTGTAAATGACCTAGTCACATAAAGGGAAGTCGTTAATAGTATATGTTATTAGTGATTAAAAAGCCAAGTTCTCAAGTGTGACTGATAGCTTCTTCATGCACAAAAACTTTCTGTTAAAATTCTACTGTTCTTACTAGCAAATCTGGCTTTTAAAATACCTCTTTATAATGAAGTGTCTGGATATTTAGAACACGAGTAACTCAGCGAGCCAGACTTTGCATCTGAGCATTGTACGTCTTAAAAAGTCTTTAATGGGTTGATGATGCAGTCACAGTGAAAGATGTTCACTGAGCAAAGTAGAAATTCATTTATAGGGTTTCAGTTTCTGTTCCACTCAACCTTCAAGAAAATACTCTTTGTCAAGTTTTAGCTTGAGAAGAGCAGCCTACCACAAATTGAATGCAGAAGATGATGTAAAGCCAGGCATGGTGGCTTATGTTTGTAATTCCAGCACTTGGGAAGCTGAGGCAATAGTGTTGCTATGAGTTGAAGACTAGCTAGAGTGAGATCCTGTCTCAGGAAGAATGAAGAAATAGATAGGAGAATTCTACAGTCATTTAAGTTAAACATTGAAGAGATTTACAGAAAATGTCAGTCAGTGCCACTTAGTAATTTTTTCATTTGAAGATATTTTTCACAAAAATATGCTTACATATAATAGGATTATGTTTTAAAACTGACTTCTAAAAATTTCTCTGGTTACATTATTTCTAATGTGGTAAAAATACTGAAAAATGACCTGCAGAAGCAAAATCTTTTTAGAATTCTCAGTTTTTAAGATTGTAAAGGAGTCCTGAGACTAAAAATTTTAGAACCAGTGTTCTTAATGATAGTAAGATAACTGTTAAGGAACAGGTATATATGAAAACATCATAGTGAAACTCATTTTAATATTAAAATATTATTTGAAAAAGTAATAACTCATAAGTAACCTTTTAACGGGCATAGATTTATATAAGAAATAATAAAAATATGTGCTAGAATAGCAATATCAGAATATTTTTAAATACATAATAGAGGTTGGGAGTATGGCTCAGTAAGAGTGCTCACCCAGCATTCATGAGGACTCAGATTCAATTCTTAACACTATGAGCAAATAAAATAAAGCTTATTAACATATTTATAGTACTAAAAGTATTTCTGAAGTTTAAAATTTATGATATTATAGTGACCAAACAAATGGGAAATATTTCTAAATAAAAATGTTTTAAATAAAAATTAAAATTCTAAGGTTGTTAAATCCAAATTTTCAGCTATGGCTGGAGAGGTGGCTCAGTGATTAAGTTATCTGCTCTTCCAGAGTACTAGGTTGGATTCCTAGCACTCGTATGGCGGCTCCCAGCCATCGGTAACTCAGCTTTAGGAGATCCTGAGTCCTTTTCTGTCCTCGTCAGGTACTGCATGCACATGGTGTGCACGTGCATGTAGGCAAAACACCTACGTACATAAAATCTTTAAAATTTTTAAATGTCTTAAAATTTTCAAGCCAGAGACCAGATTTCAGATTATCTAGTTATGAATAAATGTGTGCATATATACACTCATATGTGCATGTGTGTATATGTAAGTATGTATACACACACACACACACACACACACACACCTCTTCTGTGGTGAGTGTAGCCTGTTGTGAGAGAAAATTGAGAGTTTAAAAAATACATATAGTAATGGAAATGTGTTTACTGTGGCATACTCACATGCATGTAGTAAGAGTGAAAGAGGAGAAACTGCTTGTTCTGTTTATTTTTTAGTTAAGTCACTGCTATAAATGCAAAGGTTTTTAGACGCAATCCTTATCCTAACCAAGAAAAGTATGAGGACGGTGCTTAATTAAATCTCATGATTAAGCCACTAGTTCTTAATTGGGTGGCATGTCCTTAGATACAATTTCCTAACAAGCTTTTCTATCACTTGAGAACCTTAAACTAACTGTTATTTGGGAAGATAGGAATTACTTACCCATTGTTTAGTCCAAGGAGGATTTCTGCCACAAAAGGGTTTAGAGTGATGGGAAGTGGCCGGGTGTTTTCTTCCTAGGTATGTTTGATAGAGATGAGGGCAGCATCTCCTTTCCCCAGCTATGTGCCTGGAGACCCACTTAGTGTTGCAGTAGCGTGTAGGTACTTTTTATTACATTGCAGAATCTTTTAAATTGAAATGTTTATTTGCCAGTACTGAATGCTTTTCTGAAATAACTTCCCTAATTAATACTATCATCAATCATCATTTAACTTTTCTCACTGTGACTTTTGCATGTCATTATTTTAGCTAGGCTTTGCACTTAACATGCATCTAATTCAAGGACAATTTACCATGATTCTGTATACACTATGATTTAACATTAAATTTTCTTTCTTTTGTTTAACCAAGCTAAGTGATCTAAGTAAGGACATATCATTTTTTTTTTTTTACCAAATCAACGTTTTTTGTTTTTTTTAAAGATGAAATGAGAAAATTGAGTTAAAAATCAAAAGGAAATTTAAATTTTTTTCTTTTTATTAGAGCCAGGAAATGTCATTTCAATTCTTATTTCTTCAGAGTTCTTGAAGATGGATTCATTAGTAAGTATTCATTTTTAAAAATTTAAGCCCCTTTATTGACCTAATGCTTTTCCCCCTTTGAATATGTAGAAAGAAAAATAGTTAGTTCAAGGGTATATTTGTAACAGTACTCTGTCCTGTTGAGAAAGGGTTAAGACTACTGGGTATCATTTGTATGTTATGTCTGTAATTGGAACAACCATTGTATAATTTGAAACTAAATAGAATAAACTTTTTTCCAAAAGATTTTTGTTCTATCACTAGCTAAAGGAAAAGCAATTGGAATATATTCTGTTTTACTATTTAAATAATTTCTTTAAGCATGTTTTATTCTGTGCCTCTCATTTATAGTTCAATGAACAAAAACCTAATATCCAGCTACTAAACAGTATAGTTTTCTGTTTACTTCATAATTTATATCTATTGCTTAAGAACAGCTGATCAAATATAAAAGTGTAATATATGCACATCTATTTCAAGCTATTATATTAAATATGTTTATTTTTCTTATTTACTTGATAACTATCTGGGTGAGGCTAGGGTGCATAGTCAGTTTTGATCTTGCAAAACCAAAAGCAAAAAAATCTATAATTAAAATGGCTCCATATGTTTCCATGGCTGACATTTTGTAGCTGTTATTTAAATAAGTATTTGGGTTTGCTCCTGATAAGACTGTATAGAGCAGAACACTATGCTGTGTGAAGATGGGTTCATTGGTTTCTTTAGAGCTTACTCAGTACTGTAGTCTTTGTACTCCTCAGCCAGCTGGATTTGTGGACTTCAAACAAGGATACAGGAAAAAAAAAAAAAAATCAGAGTCCTTTAGCTTTGAGTTTTGAAACCTAAGCCCTAAAATATTCCTTTTATACCATCAGAACAGTATTTGGAAAACTGTGAGACTTCCTTCTCTTTACTCTGACACAGGTTAGAAAGAGCAAATAAAACAGAACTGAGAAAATCCTTAAATGAAATTTTGTTTCGCCTTCGTAGGGGAATGGGGATAACTTAATAACTAAGCTTAACTGTAAGAAGTCATTTGAATATGCAACAGACTAAGATTTATACCTGCTATAGCCATTTAAAAGACATTATTATTTTGAATAAATTATTGGAAATAATTTAGTTATGCATGTTTATACATTTTATGTATTTAATAGTGTAGATCAACACAGTTGGCAAAACCAGTTGTTGGTGATATAGATGTGGGTTTGGTATTTCATGAGGTTATGTTTGAAATTGCTCTGACAGTATATCATTTGTGTTACTATTAGTTTTCTATTCTGTGTTTTTCAGGTTGAACAGTGTATTCAGTATTGCCACACAAATATGAATGCCATAGTAGCTGCTCCGTGCAACATGAACTGTATTAATGCAAACCTCCTTACACGCATAGCTGATCTGTTCACACACAATGAAATTGATGACTTAAAAGACAAAAAAGATAAGTTTAGGAGGTAACTCTTTAAACTTTAGATTTAAACATAATAAGTTTTGTTAAGTATATTTCTATTTAATTTTAGTGAAATTCTATTTTAAAAGTATATGAAATATGTTCCTATTTTACTTTAATAAAAAGCCAATAGCTTATGATAATGTTAGTGATTTAAAATTTTATTACATTTAAATTTATTTTGTGTGTGTATGTGCATGTGGGTACTACAGCACACATGTAGATCAGAGGACTACTTCCCAGAAGCAGTTTTCTCCTTCCACAGTATGAACTCTGGGGGTCAAACTCGGGGACTCAGGGTTAGTAGCAGGTACCCTTACCTGCTGAAGCATCTTGCTAGCTCCTAGTAATCATTTTATATAATGAACATACGAACTTATGGTGGTAATGAATTGTGTTAAGGCTTCATTTTAAAGGGGCAAAGTGGTATGATATAAGGCCAATATGGGCTATTGAGGTTAGAGCAGGGAGAACAGACCTTATTCTAGGTTTGGACAGAAGCAGAGGTTTCTTAAGATCTGTTTTTAAGAGATTTGGGTTGCTGTGTGGAGAACGTGAAGAGTATAAGAAGCAAAGAGACATAATAAGAGGCTAGAGTAGTAGCTTCTTGGGAAACTATCTGGTTTGGATTAGGGTAGATGCAGTAAAGCTCCCAGTGAGTTCAATGCATGTAACTTAAAAGATTTGACAAATTTGTGAAGGGGGTAATATGGGAAAAGAGAGGACCCAGGATAACTACTAAGTTCTCAACTTGAGCGTGTAAATGGATGGAAAAGCCATTACTGCAGAAGGGGAAGATTGGGGGGAGGACAGGGGAGGCAAATCAAGAGGCAGCTTAGATCTTACAGAATTAGTGTATTTCTTGGGTATCTGGATGGATGGCAGGTGACTAGTCAGATATGTTCCTCTAGAGTGTCAGTCAGAGGTCAGAGTTTGTTAACAGACAGTTATGAATAAATGGAATAGTGTTCCTGGATGGGATTCCCAGCAAAGGGCAGTTAGTGCATTTGCTGTTGTGTCAGGAAAGCTTTGCCTCCCTATGGTAATGTTGACATCTCTGAACTAACTGTTTTGTAGATTATGAAGTAGGAGGTCAAGGTTCATTTTTCAAGTATTTGTAGTTCATGAAGCATCATATATCTAAAAGATCTTTCTTGATACATACCTTTAATCCCAGCATTCAGGGGGCTGAAGCAGGGGGATTATCCTGAGTTTTAGTTTCACCTGAGCTACATTGTAAAATCCAGGCCAGCCTGGATTACATAGTGAGATCCTGCAGCAAAGAGAATCAGAAATGAACAGAACAGTCAGTAATGAAAGGCCATCCTTTCCCCACCAAACTTCAGTAACCACCACCCCAGTCAGGTGACCACATTTCATCCATAGCATGCTAGCTTACCCATTCTTCAGTCAACAGCACTGACTCTTAAAAACATTACTTTAACTGTGTGTCTTCCTCTGCGGGGTGGGGGTGCACACAAGTGCAGGTGCCTGTGGAAATCAGGGCCATCGGACCCCCCCTGGATCTGGAGATGCAGGCTGTTGTAAGCTTCCCAGAATGTGTGCTAGGAATCAAATGGGTCCTTTGTAAGAACAGTATGTATTCTAAATTGCTGAGCCACCTCTCCAACTCAAGTAGCACCTAATCTAAATTAAGGCAGAGTTGTAATTATTTTGGCTCTGGAATTGGGAATTAATACTGAACCTGGAGATCCATTTGGAATGATTTTAGGATCTTTTTTTTTTTAAGATTTTAAAAAAGTATGTATGCACACAGGTGTGTGTGCATGTGTGGCATATGTGTGTGTGTGTATACACGTGTTGAGTGTCAGTGCCTGAAGAGACCAGAAGATAGCATCAGATCCCCTGGGATTATGCGTTTATGAACCACTCAGTGAGGATACTGAGATATAACTGGGGGTCCTCCACAAGAGCAGTGTGCACCATCTCTCCAGCCATGATTTTAGCATCTCAGTAATACCAAATCTTACAGTTTGTAAACACAGTATAACTTTCTACTTCTTTATTCCTAAGTATTTACTTTCTCATTGCTATGATAAATGCTATTCTGATTTATTTGCTGTTAGCAAGAGAGCATTAACAAAGGCTACCCATTACTTTAAGATTTGACAGAGAAGTAGCAGTCAGGGCATCTTAAAAAGGCCCATGGAGTAGAAAGAAAGGTAAAATCAGAAGAGGCTTTGAAGGGGGAGAAGTGATTGACAAAAATGTGTGGATCACTGCTCTTGTATAGAGGAAGACAGAAATGAAGCCCACTGAATTTAGAAAGTTTTCCAGATGTTTGCTCTGAATGATTGCTTAGAAAAAGAAAAAGAGTAGAAGTTTGTTATGGAAAGTAGGCTCAAGAGAGGAAATAAATGTTAAGTACTTACTAATCTCAGTTTTATACACGTACAAGGGCAACACTTATTCTTATCACTGTAAACTAACTTTAGGGATGGAAAGATTATTGCTCAGTACATAAAATGATTGTTGTGTATGCATGAAAATCCTCAGGACCCACAAGAAAAGCCAGACTTAATAGCATGTGTTTGTATCCCTAACACTGGAGTAGTAGAGACAGAAGGATCCCAAGGGCTCACTGGCCAGTGAGTCTAACCAAAGCGACAGATTCAGTTAGAAAAGTGGAAGAGCCAGAGAAAGGCCTCGGGGTTTAAGAACACAAAGAGCACATACTGCTCTTGCAGAGGACATGATCCAGCACCAATGTCCCGCCCGAAGCTCCAACTGCCTGGAACTCCAGGGGATTTGATGCCTTCCATGGGCCCTTGTAGCTATGTGTGCATACCCCATACAGATACATACACATAATTTAGACGGAACAAAGGAAGGAAGGCAAGGAGGGAGGGAAAACAGAATTCAGAGATTTAACTTACTGGCCATTTGTTTTTAATAGTAAACTTTTTTGTAAGAAGATTGAAAGACTGTTTGATGCTGAGTACTTGAATCCAGATTCTCGAAACAACGCAGCAACCTTATATAGGTAACATGTTTTTCTTGGTATACTATATAATAGAGCTATATTATTTAATTCACTACAACAAGTTCTTCCTTGAGTATTTTTGACATTTCTTTTTTGTTGTAGATGTTGTTTATGTAAGAAACTTTTAACCAGAGAAACAGAAAGACGAATTCCTTGCATCCCTGGAAAAATCAATGTGGATCGACATGGAAACATTATCTACATCCATATAAGGTACAGTGAAAATGACATACAGTTTCTGTGTGTGAATTTCAAGAGTACTTATTAAAACAGAACTTAATTTTCTATAAGAACACCCACCCTCCTTTCTTTCAGGTACGTTAGGGATCAAACTTAGTGCTTTGTACATGCTAGTCAAGCACTCTACCTCTGAGCTACATCCTCAGCTCTTGGTTTGTCTTAAATAATGTATTTGTTGTTTGCGTGCATGTGTGGCAGAGGGCTCATGTGGGGGTGTGTGCAAGTCAGAGGACAATCTTTCAGGGTCATATCTCCTTTCCCATTATTACATAGGTCTTGGGAATCAAAACTCAGGTCAACAAGCTTCTTAGAAAAGTACCTTTACTAACTGAGCCATTTCACCAGCCCCAGCCCATTTATATTTTTTAATTACAATTAAAATTTGCATTACATTTATTTATTGTGCCATTGGAGGTCAAAGGACAGCTTAGGCAAGTCCATTTTCTCCTTCCACTATGAGGGTCCTGGGATGTTCTTATAGAAGAATATATACTTACATAGAAAGTTGTTAATAATAATTTTAATACGTGTAATATATAAAACTAGAAGGCTGGGGACATAATTCAGTTGGTAAAGTGCTTGCTTAGCTTGTATAATAAAGTCCTAGGTTTGACCCTCAGTACTGCAAAATTCAGGCAGGGTGGCACATCCCAGTAATTTCATTACTCTGGGTGTGAAAGTAAGATAGATGATCACAGAAAATCAAAGTCACCCTGGGCTACGTAGTGTTCAAGACCAGCCTGGGATGAACACACACTTTAAAGAACGTAGTCACTGAAATATTAATTGTTGCTTCTGGAGGTTCTTTTTCTTTATTAAAAATGTGTAAGTGGGATGGAGAGATGGCTGAGTACATAAAGTGCTTACTACACAAGCATGAAGGCTGCAAATGGATTCCTAGCCCCCACATAAAAAGCAAGATGTGTTAACACAGGCTTATAACACTAAGGCTGGGGGTGGAGGATCATTCAAGCTCTATGGTGAGCCAATGCAGCCAGAACAGTGAGCACCATGTTCAGTGATACTCCCTGTTTAAGAACCATCAGATGGGGAAGATACCCGATCTCGTCCTCACACACATGCACATGGCCAAGCGTACCCGCATATACTTGTTCAAACATGCAGATACCACACATACCGAGTAATTTTAAAATCTATAACCTGCATTTATGTACACATATACCCACTTGAAAGCATACTTCCACTGCACTACACACGCACAGACACACACACACACACACACACACACACACACACACACATATGACCATAGCCAGGTGTGGGTTACATGTGTAATCTAAGAACTTGCAAAGTGAAGGCAGAAGGATCAATTCAAGGCATTTCTTACCTATAAAACAAATATAAATATTTTTGTTAAAGAAATTATCTTCAAGCATTATATTTTAAACATTAAAATAAACTTAAGGGGGCTGGAGAGATGGTCTTACAGAGGACTTGGGTTCAATTCCCAGCACCCACATGGCAGCTTATAACTGTCTGTAACTCCAAGATCTGGCATCCTCACACAGACATACATGCAAGCAAAACCCTAATGCATATAAAAAATGAAAATTGTTTAAAAAATTTTTTTATTGGAAACAGAAGTACAAGGCAACATTTAATTTGATGTTAGTATTAATAGCATAGTTAACATTAATATCAAGGTCAACTTTAAAATGTTTAATTTTTCTCTCAATAAATAATTGGAAAATTTTCACTACTTTATATGTATGGTAGTCATATATAGATATATACATATGTGCATATATACACACACACACATATTGTCTTGAGACTTTATTTGCCTTTTGAAAATTTCTTCGATTCTGACAGCAATAACTATTATTAGTAAGTGGAAAAGGTAATTAGCATTAACTTCAGCATCCATTTTTTCTTTTGGTGTTTTATTTATTCTTCTACAAGGCAACAGTTGACACATATATTTTAAAAACTGTCTTTAAGGGCCTATCAGCTAAGAGCACTGGCTGTTCTTCTAGAGGAACCATGTATATGGTATATTATGCTCTCTTCTGTCCTCTGTGGGCACTGCACAACCTGGTGCACAGACATACATGCAAAAAAAAAACACATTAAAAAAAAGAAAGAATATTTTTTAAATAAACAAATTGTCTTTAAAGCCAGGCATGGTGTCACCATGCTTCTGATTCCAGCCTCGGGGATATAGTGGTGTCAGTGCAGGTGCAAGCCTTAACTTTAAAAATTCTTTGTGTGATTTGTAATAACATATTCACACACTGTTATTTGCTGAACTAAGCACAAAAATTGGAAAATTTTTAAAGCTTCAAATATAGAACCTTAGAAAGAAGCTGAATGTGGCCACCCACCCTTGTAATTCCAGCATTCCAGAGGCTCGGGCAGCAGGGGCTCAGTTTTTGAGGCCCCACTGAGCTTTGTAGCAAGTTCCAGACCAGCCTGGACTATCAGTAAGACTCTGTCTCAAATATACACTACAGTTTCATGTGACCATAGCAAATTAGCGTATGCCTTTACTGGTTGTTAAAATGTATATATGAAGACCTGTCTGTATAATGCTGAATTTTAAATGCTGTTTAAAAGTAATGTAATAAACCATCATCACATTATCAGAGTATTTAGAAGCACTGCTAATTAATAACAGCACATCTTTCAACATGTACAGTTAAAATAAAGGTCTTAGAATTCATGAGATGGCTTGGCAGGCAAAGATGTCTGTCACCAAGCCTAGTGACCTGAATTTGACCCCTAGAATCCTCAATATGAAGGAGCAAACTGACTCCCACAGTTCGTCCTGTGATTTACACACACGTGCACACACTTGCACATGCCACGGCATATGTACTTGTACACACTCACATATGTAAATAAGCAATAAACAACTTTTAAAAAGTAAAAATGAAACAAAGGTCCTTTTAACCACTGCTGTTCAAATGTTTAAATTATAATATTTAGCTCAACAAAATAAGTATATATTCCACCTTTTCATATCTTCTTCTGTTGTCTGAAAATAAAGTGTACCTACTTTTTAGTGTAGTTCCCTACCACACTATCATTCGGAGAGTATTATTGCAAACAAGCCACATTTGGTTAAAACAAATTGTATCTCTTACTTAAAGTAATTGAGGGTTGTTTTCTTCAGAGATAAAACCTGGGATGTACATGAGTATTTGAATAGTCTTTTTGAAGAATTAAAATCTTGGAGAGATGTATATTGGCGGTTGTGGGGAACGATCAACTGGCTGACTTGTTCAAGGTGTTACCAGGTGAGGTTTTAAGGAAAGTAGTAGCAAAATAGTGGTCTGTTAGGCATTGTTATCTACCTTATTTCTTTTGCCATTTTGTCCTTTCTTCCTCTTGTGTTTATTGCTGGAACAATTCTTGTCAGACTGTGAGAAAAGCATCAGATTCTTTGTTATCTAATCCAGTTTTTCAGTGTAAAATATACAGAATTTTTATTGTTTTTATTTTCAGCCAAACAGTTTCTCGTTTGGGCCATATATTTCCTTAGAGATTCAGAGTCACTGGGCCTGTTGTCTTGGTTTTTTAGATAAATGTTACCTGCAGCCTACTCTGGCCTGGAGCTTACACTGCTGTCAGCTCCCTGGTGTTGTTGCTACTGCAGGTGTGTGCACACAGGTGTGCACCACCACACCTGGCTGCTCCCCTCCCTGTCCCAGTCCCAGGGCTCCAAAATCGGATCTTAAGCCATACCAGTGAGCTGTATTTCCAGCCTTGTTCATGGTTTTAATAATCTAAATTTATAGAAAAAGCACAAGTAGGTTAGTTCTTGAAGGCACACATGATTTTTTACAAAGTAGTCATTGCTAATCTTGCTGGTCTTACGTAAATCCAAGGTTTTTTTGTTTTTTTTTTTTTTTTTTTTTTTTACATCAAATCTCATATGAATGCCCTTCCTTTAGATTTCTCTCTGACTTGATTTTCAGTGGAGGGAGGAAGAACAGGTCATCAAAACCATCACAGTTTGGAATGTCAGACCATATGTAAGTCCTTCTCACTGGGCTAATCCTGGGTTTATTGAGGTATATCTTATAGATAGAGAGAAGTAGTCATTCATTTTGTGAGGTTGAGATATATATATATATATATATATATATATATATATATATATATATATATATTACCACCATCATTATTGTTCACCTGTGCTCCTTTTTAAATCAGCTCCTTCTTAATGGTTGACAGTCATTGCCAAACTTGTGTGTTGGATCTTAGTGTCTCCTTTTTCAGATTCTTATTAGGAAGAATCGTACAGTGCTTAATTACTTGAGTGGACCTTCTTTCACTCAGTAAAATGAATTTGAAATTTCAACATGTTGTTGCATGTCAGCATTCTCTCCTTTTATTGCTAAGTAGCCTTCTGTCATAAGAGTTACACAGTATGTTAACCACTCACAGCTGACACACATTTGTAGCTGTTCTAGTTTGGAGCCATTGCGAAGACAATTGCTGTAAATATTCCCAGACAGGTTTTCTTATAAACAAGGGCTTTTAGATCTCTTGAGTTCTAGAATTAGAACTGCAATATAATAATCTAAGTTAACATTTTCTAAATTTCCCGTGTCCTTTTGCATTCCTTTAGCTGTGTGTGAGCATGGTAATTGTTCCATGTCTTGATAACACATTTGGATATTTGCCATTGTTGTTAAATTGTTACTTTTGCTTCTGCCTTTGAGTTTGAACTTATATGTGGATTTGGAACCTATTTCATAACCATACCATGACAAGTTATTTTCTTTAATGACTGGAAGTTAGGCCATAGCTTTCATAAATACTGATACTAAGTTTCACAAAAACCAAGGAATAACCAAGTAAGGTGAAATTATTTGATATTTCACTGGAATTTTTAAAAAATTATTGGTCAGTTTTAAATGTAAGTGTATATACTAAGATCAGTTTTATTCATCTGGATTTTTAGTAAAGCCTTTTGATTTTGCCTTTTAGAAACTTCTTTGGAGTAAATTATTATGTAACTCATTGATTTTTGTCAGAATCCCCAGAGTTGGTAGCACTTATTATATGCCACCCAGTGTTAGTACATTCTCATCACCTCAGAAAGAACCTCATGCCCATCTGCTACCACTCGGTATTTCTGCCTCAAATCCCGGCAAGGGTTCATCTAATTTGAACCTCTATAGGTGGACCTATTCTGTACATTTCATGTAAATGTGACATGTGATTTATGGCCTTCAGAAATGTATTTTTGAGACATATGTCATTGTGGCATACTTGTTGATTTTTATATATTTCTTTCACCCAGGCCTTTCTCTGTATTGAATTCTCACATTGTCAGTATCACTCAGAAGTGGTAGTTTATGCCTCCACAGTAAGTTCACTGACCACTGTGGGCACTGGAATTTATCCCTGCTGTAACCAAAAGGTTCTTCGTTTTGATCCCACTCAGCTCACAAAGGTAAGATTTTTGTTTTAATCTTTGATTAAACTTTGAAAGTTTCATCTATCTATGTAATGTGTATTGATAATAGCTATCCACTGTCTCCCTCCAGTTCCACTTAGTGCCCCCACCCAACTCCCTCTCACCTCCCTGGCTTTTGTTGTTATTAATAAACCCTCTGCGTCCAGTTATTTCTGCCAGAGGAACTAAAGGTAAGTTTTGAACATTCCTTTTTTTTATATATAGTTCAGCTGCCCCTAACATTTTATGTAAAATCTTTTTCTTTTTAAGTGTAACTACATCAACATTAAAAAAAAAAAAAAAAAAAAAAAAGAACTCCACAGCTTCTTAGAAGTAACAGCAGTAAACAGTTCCCTTTCAGATCTTTTTTTATTTAATTACTTTAACAATTTCACACATGTATAATGTATCTGACTACAGTCATTCCTGCACATTCTCTTTCCTTCCATTCTCTCTGCTGTCTCCCAACTCTTCCTGCCAGGAAGTCCCCAGCGCACTTACTTTCATGTCCTTTTGTGTTGTCTTTGTATGTGGCACACTGGATCTAACCAGGCTTATTCGTATAGGCTTTGTTTAGAAACTCTACCAGAGCATGGATCAGTCACAAGTAACTGAAGACATCACTAAAGTCATGAGTAACTAAAGACAATGATTTTCTCTTATCCAGCTGTCCACAGCTGTCATTGGCTCTGCTGGGTGGGGTCCAGCTCCCCCTCCCCATCTGACTGAATAGTTACTACAAGTTTAGTCTTATGTAGCCCTATCAGGCAACCAGGACTGTTGTGAGATCATGAGTACCATGGCCATGTCAGACTCCCAGGGTTTCACGGTCCTCCCTCACTGTCATCCAGCTCTTACATTCTTTTTTGTCTCCTCTTCCATGACGTTCCCTGAGCCTTAGAAGATAGTTTATATTCACTGCTCTATCTGTATCTGTAGCTCCCCAGTCAGTCACACAGCCATATCTGTAGTTCCCCAGTATTTTTAACGGGAAAGCTGATCCTCTCAAGTGCTTGTTCAGATGTACATTTATATTTCAATTTATTTTCTGCACTTTTAAGGGGAAAAGTGTTAGATATTTGACTGCAGAAAGAGAAGTATAATTTGTAAACTATTTTTCATTCTTGAGACTTTAATAATAACTATAAAATGAAATATGATCATATCAACCTTCATTTCTCCCCTCCAGCTCTCCACATATGCCCACATGTTCACCTCCTAAATTTACATTTTTGTTTTTGTTTTGTCTTTTTGATAACCCTGTAAGTTAATTACTGCTGCCCATATGTACATGTGTAGCCATCCACTGGAGCACAGGACTCTTTCAAGTGGCCCCATGCTCCAAGATGAATGATTTTCCCTCCCCTATTAATTATCATCTGCCAGTTGCTCTTCAGTAAGGGGTAGAGCCTAAGTTCATCTAACCTCTCTGTGCCACAATTTAGATTGACTTCATCTTATACAATGTCTTAGTTAGTGTTCTATTGCTGTGAAATGATATATACTAACTGTCCCATCATTTCATTGAGACAGGACCAAGGCACCTCTCCACCCCCAAACTTCTGTGTCTAGGCTGAGCAAGGCATCTCTCCATATATAATGGGCTCCACTATTCAGTTTGTGCATTAGTGTTAGATCTTGGACCCACTGCCAGTGGCCTCATATATTGTCCTATTCACATCATTGTCACCTATATTAAGGGAGTCTAGTTCAGTCTTATGCAGGTTCCCATTTGTCAGACCTGAGTCAGTGATCTCTCACTAGCTCAGGTCAGCTGATTCTGTGGGTTTCTCCATCATGGTCTTGACTCCTTTGTTCATATTATGGCTCCTCCCTCACTTCAATTGTACTCCAGTAGCTTGGCCCAATGGTTAGTTGTGAATTTCTGCATCTGCTTCTATTTATTTCTGGAAGAGGGTTCAAGCTTCTCTGGGGTTGTGGATTGTAGGCTGGGTACCTTTTGCTTTATATCTGGTATCCACTTATGAGTGAGTGCATACTGTATTTGTCTTTCTGGTTTGGGGTTACCTCATTTAGGATGTTTTTTTCTAGTTCTGTCCATTTGCCTGTGAATTTTAGGATGTCATTGTTTCTTACCAGTGAGTAGTACTCCATTGTGTAAATATGCCACATTTTCTTTATCCATTCTTCAGTTGAGGGGCATCTAGGCTGTTTTCCAAGATCTGGCTATTACAAATAATGTTGCTGTGAACATAGTTGAGCAAATGTCTTTGTGGTGTGAATGTGCCTCCTTTGGGTATATGCCCAACAATGGTGCTTCCGGGTCTTGAGGTAGGTTGGTCTCTAATTTTCTGAGAAATTGCCATACTGATTTCCACAGCGGCTGTACAGGTTTTCACTCCCCACCACCAATGGAGGAGTGTTCCCATTTCTCCATATCCTCTACAGCATAAGCTGTCATTGGTAGAACTGCATTTCTTAAAAGATTTTTTTATAGTGAACCTACCTCTAACAGTGTCTCTTATGTCTGACAGGGCTGTAAAGTGAGGGACCACATGGTTATTGTTCATGACCAAGGAGAAAATGATGATTTGCTTTCTTGTCCAACTACTAGAATACTGGACGATCTGCACAAGCACAGAGATGTCATTGTTGTACCCTTTTTAAAAGATACAGTTAGGTGAGAAAAAAAAGAATACTCTTTTTTTTTTTAGCTTTGTTGGGTTGTTTCCATTTCATGATCCCCTCTCCCCAAGGGTTTCCCCATATCAGTAGTGCCAACCCTCCCATATTTACTATCTCAGAGAGTTGAGAGTTGAACTGAAGGGTTTAGGGATATAGCTTGGTAGTCCAACCACTGTTGACATACACACAGACCTGGTCTAATCCCAGCATTGCAGAGAGAGAGAGAGAGAGACAGAGAGAGAGGGAGGGAGGGAGGGGAGAGAGAGAGAGAGGAGAGAGAGAGAGAGAGAGAGAGAGAGAGAGAGAGAAAGAGAGAGAGAGGGAGGGAGGGAGGGGAGAGGAGAGAGAGAGAAAGAGAGAGAGAAAGAGAGAGAGGGAGGGAGGGAGGGGAGAGGAGAGAGAGAGAAAGAGAGAGAGAGAGAGAGAAAGAGAGAGAGAGAGTCTTAGTTGGGGTTTCTGGTTCTTCAATGAAACACCATGACCAAAAGGCAAGTTGGGGAGAATGTACTTTATTTGGCTTACATCTCCACGTTGTAGCCCATCAATGAAGAAAGTAGGGCAGGAACTCAAACTACACAGAAACCTGGAGGCAGGAGCTGATGTGGAGGCCCTGGAGGAGTGCAGCTTATTGGCTTGTTCTCTGTGTTTTTCACACTCTGCTTCCATATAGAACCCAGGACCACCAGCCGAGGTTGACCCCACCCACAGTGGGTTTGCCCCCACCCTACTCTGGGCTTGGCTGCAGCCTGATCTTGTGGAGGCGTTTCCCTTTGCAGCTACCTTCTCAAATGACTCTAGCTTGTGTCAAGTTGACATAAAAGTAGCCAGCATGGGCATGTGGGGGAGAGAGGAAACCCTCACTGAAATTAGGGTGTTTTTCACCAAGAACAGACTTATTTGACAGATAAAATAGAAAAATAGGGGAAGTCCAAGGGGAATAAAAAATTAACAAAAAGAACTGGAAACTAAAAGTGTTGAGGGTTTTTTTTGTTTGTTTGTTTGTTTGATTTTTCCAAGATGACAGTTTCTCAGTAGCTTTGGAAGCTGTCCTGGAACTCACTCTGTAGATCAGGCTGGCCTCAAACTCACAGAAATGTTTGTCTCTGCCTCCTGAGAGTGGGATTAAAGGTTTGTACCATCACTGCCCAGGTGAAATGTTGAAATTTTAAATCTAATTTTTGAAAATTTTGAGTTCTTTTCCTACATTTCTTTTCCCCTTCCCCATCTTACACCATCATCCCTGGGATCAAACCTTGGGCCTTAAACATGGTGAACAATCCTTCCACCACTGAGCTATCCCCAGTGCCAGATTGACACAAACAGGGAACACAGTTGAGATCATCTTTCCATAACTTTGAACTCTTAATACAGTTATTTTGTAAATGCAGCGGGCTGTCAGTTGGGCTAGAGGAATCTAAAAAAGGCTTTTCTTTTTTTTTTTTAATGTCAACACAGCAACCTTTTTACCACCTACCACCTGGCAGATAGGATTTTCCTAGTGTAACAGTGTGCCTCTTATGGAATGATCTGCTAGAGTAATTACTAGACATTAAAAGTCTAAATATCCTGGCATAGTAGGGCATGCCTTTAATCCCAGCACTGGGAAGGCAGAGACAGATGGTTTCTGAGTTTGAGGCCAGCCTGGTCTACAGAGCAGGACAGTTCCAGGACAGCTAGGGCTACAGAGAAAAACCCTACCTCAAAAAAAAGAGGGGGTGGGGTGGGGAATACTGAAGTGACGCCCTGAGTCAAAAACTAAAAATCTATTTTTGTAATGATTAGGATCAGGACTGAGGCCACCTGTAAGAACTTGTATTTCCTAAGCTGTGCAAACATCCGTAATGATGAGGCAGTCTGCATGTGTACAAGAGAACCATGTGTGCGGTGCCTAGAGGAGCAGAAAGGGTGTCACATTCCCTTGGAGCTGGAGAGACAGGTGGCTGTGAGGCGCAGGGTTAGTGCTGGGCTCCAAACCAGGTTCCTCCGCAAGAATAGTGTGTGCTGAGCCAGCCCGCCTGTAAATTGTGAGAAAGTGAATGTGTCTCTATAAAATGTCCTTTTCATTCAAGTGACCCCGGGGCTGGCTCCTGTGATGAAAAGGGCCTGGAATATGATGTTTTGCTGGAACCAAATACACCATGGGGCCCCAAAACTGGGGAGCTCAATGCTGTGAGTAACTTTTCTATGTAATGTATATATAAAACTACTGATGACATTTTTTCTTTCAAAATTAAACTGATTATCCAAACATGATGCTATGCTGAGTCAATAAAACTATAAAGAGTGATAAGTAATATATTATTTGATTTCAAAGAATTGATAACTGATAAAACTTTAGGAAAAAAAACCTTACCTTTAGGTTTACCATTGTGTATCTGTACCATATTTTATTTATCATTCATTTGCTGGTCAACATCTACTCTTGTTCTATTTCCTGACTTTTGCAAGCAGTGCAACAATAAACATGACTATGTGAACATCTCTGCAACATGTCTAGTTGGAATTGATTGGTGATTGGTATATAGAAGGTGCTGTTGCTGGGACATGTGGCAGTTGTGGTTTAGTTTGTTGAGGACTCTCCATGCTGGTTTCCATAGTGGCTTCACAAGTATAAGCCCTGCTAGCAGTAAACCAGATTTGCTTTCCCTGTGCCATCACTGGCAGCCATTGTCATTGCTTTTCTTGATGCTAGCCATTCTGAGCAGGGGTTTAAAGACTGCCTTAGAGTATTTAACCCTGAAAGTGAACCATACTTGTAGCCATGAGAAAAATAAGGAGGCTGCCATGCAGGTTTGTTAATCTGTTGTCCCTCTGCCTTTCAGTTCCTGTCATTGAAAAACTGGACTCTGCAGTTGGTAAGTGAGCCTTTGGATCCGGTTTCTGTGGACTTCTTGCCTCCATGTTGAAGTTTGATAATAAAATCTTCCATCTTAATTTACAAACTTTTATTAAATGTCATCTTGTCAGCCTTTCCAATTTCATACTTACTAAGAAATACTGTCAGTTAAGGAAAGATAGAGCCTGATGCAGTGACTCAGGCCTGAAGTCCCACTGTTTGGGAAGCTGAGGCAAGACTCTCGTTACAAGACTCAAAAGAAAAAATATGTGTGTGTCACAGTGTTGGGGTACCCTTGGAGGCCAGAAGAGGGTATTGGGACCCCTGGATCTAGAGTTACCAGCAATTATGAGCCACCTGGTCTAAACCCTGGAAACTGAACTGTAGTCCTCTGCAAGAGCCAAGAGCAGAAGATGTTCTTAACCATTGAGCCATCCCTCCAGGCCCTGGTTAAAAGATTTTTTTTAAAGTCACCTTTAAATAACCTTTAGGGACTCGTTAGATGACTCAATAGTTAGGGTGCTTGCCAGCAAGTCTTCCGACCTGAGTCCAAGCCCTAGGACCCTAAAGGTGGAAGGAGAGACCAGACTCCTGCAAGTTTTCTTCTGACCTCTGCACGTGTCCACATACTAAATAATTAAATAACAAATATGAACACATCACATTTATGATATTAAGAAAAGTCTAGTAAGTTTTTTGTTGGACATTTTGTTTTATTTTATGTTTGGCTTCACAGATGATTTTATATTGCCCAGGCTGGCCTGAGATTTGCTATGTAACTGAGGATGACTGAATTCCCGATCCTCCTGCCTTTACCTTTCCAGTGCTGGGATCACTGGCGTGTATAACTGAATTGTGTTTGTTTATTTTGTTGTTTTTGAAACATATTCTCCATGTACAGAACAGGCTAGCTTCAAATTTACCACACTTCTGCCTTGACCTCCCCAGTGCTGATATTACCATACCCAACATTTCATTAGTCCATTTTTAAGTATTTTAATCTGTATGTGTGTTTGTGTATGCACACATGTGCATGTGTGTGCTGGGAAGAGATGTGCACACACACGCCTGCTGAGCCATCTCTGCAGCCCCAGTGGATGAGTTGTTACTTGACTCATCCAAGAAAGGAGGTGAGTGTGTTCTTCAGAATCCATTCATGCCATAGCAGTGTGAAAGTGGTGACAGAGATGTCTTTCTCTGCATTTAGAAACAGCAGTCATTATTTTCAGAAGAGGAAGAATACACCACTGGATCTGAGGTCACTGAAGATGAAGTTGGTGATGAAGAAGAAGTGGCCAAGAAACAAAGTAAGGTCTACTAAGTTAATACAAACCCTCAGTGTTGATGGAGGGCTCCACCCTGAATCTTCCCACTAAGTTAGAATGAGCCCTCACTGTTCATGGAGGGCTCCACTCTGAATCTTCCCATGCAAGGCATGGGTAATGCGTATATGTCTGGATCTAAGGTTACACTGAGCAAAGAAATGGAAAGGAAGCTCCATGAAGATTCCCTAACCCAAGCTGGCCTAATGGTTGTCTCTTAATTGTTAACCCATTTCTATTAATCTGTGTGTCTCCACATGGTCTTTGCTTACCAGTGATGCTCAAGGCTCTTGCTTTCTCGACAGCTACTGGTGAGGCCCTGTCTCAAATACATACATGCATACATATATATATGTATATGTAATAAAGAAAGAATAAGAGAAAGACAGTCCTTTATGTTTGCCCATATACTAGCCATTTTCCTTCTCATCTGCATTAGCATCTGATGATGTTTTCTATTCTATAGGGCTGCCTTTATTTCCTGTTGTGCAGGTCTATAAGCAAGGAATGGCTTTCTTTTATTTATCTTTTTTAAAAAAAATCTTACTTTTTAAAAATTTTTGTCTAATGTGGCTTTGATATTCTCTTTGTGTTTATGTTTTTTGTTTGTTCTTTGTTTTTTGTTGTTGTTGGGGGGGGTTGGTTTTTGAAACAGAGTTTCTCTATGTAGCCCTGGCTGTCCTGAAACTCACTCTGTAGACCGGACTGGCTACAATCTCACAGAGATCTGCCTACCTCTCGTTAGACACAGACACAGAGTCATAGGTGTGTGTCCTAAGTGCCTCTGTGCCTGTGGCCAAGCTGACAAGGAAGAGTAACTGTCAGGGCCAAGAATCTGAGCAGAGTTGTCATTAGACATCAGGGTTCACCTGATCCAAATCTGCCCTCTGACTCCCTAACTAAGCTGTCTGAAACTTGAGGTATGTACAGTTCAGAGAGCTAATTCAGTCAAAGCCACAGAAACTCCCCTGTCTCCCAAGCATGGTAGCCTTTTAGGGTCTAGGGTGTCTCATACTGGCAAATTAAAGTTGAGCTTAGTATTTGGACAGAGTTATACTCCTACTCCTTTATCTTTGCAGCTTTCCTATTGCCTTGCACTTCATCATTTCCTTCCTGGGGTGAGTTTCTCCCCTGTGGGAAGTATTTTCAGGCTAGAGGACCTCAAATTCTCGGTTCTTACCTCAACAAGTTTTCAGATATAAATTGCCCAACTCTGTGCCTAGCTTAATTATTCTCTAGTACTAACAGATAGTTTTAAAAACTTTTTGTTGTACTGACATCACTGAACTTAGAAGGAATTGTCCATCCCCATACCATGTCATTACCATTATCATGTAACCTATTATGTCTTCTAGCAAATTGTAATTCTTGATCTGTATTATTAATTTTGCTGCTTCCTACCATGGTATCTTCAAGCTCATCATATATGCATCATATCTTACAGGTTCCCCATGCACAGTAGGGACAGAGTTTCCCTTTGGAAAATGTCAGAACAAACTTGTGGGAATACTACCCAAAGAACTGTAGGAGAGTTGCCAGTATATCCTTCTTGCCTTTCCTTTTGTTTCTGGAGCATAGCTCCTCTCCTCTTCCTGCCATATCCAGATTCCTCCTTACTCTTGGCCAGAACAGACTCAGGGATATTGACTTAAGAAGGCCACTGTCCAGAGTATGAATTGTCCCGGCCCTGCTTCCCATGATCATTCCTGCCTTGCAGTCTTCCTGAGCAAAATTCATTTTGAAGCTTTTGCATGTGTATTTTATGTGTCTGTTCTCTGTCTCTGTTCCTTATTCCCAAATTACATTTTTTTCCCTAGGTGATAGTAATTTGAGGGGTTTTTTATGGGTTTTTTTTTGTTTGTTTTTGTTTGTTTGTTTGTTTTGAGACAGGGTTTCTCTGTATTGTTTTGGAGTCTGTCCTGGAACTAGCTCTGTAGACCAGGCTGGCCTCGAACTCACAGAGATCTGCCTGCTCCCACCTCCCAAGTGCTGAGATTAAAAGCGTGTGCCACCAACGCTTGGCGTGTTTTGTTTTGTTTTTCTTAAAAACAGATTGTTGGTTAAGTTTTGTTCCATATAGATGTATCAGTGACATTGGTGGGGAGTGGAATTTATGTTTCTAATATTGTCCTTTCTTTTTCAGGGAAAAGGGAAAAGCCAAAGAAGTTTACTAAGCAACCAAAAAAGCAGCTGTCTTCACCCTGTTCTCAAAAGAAAGAAAAGGCGCTGGAGAAGGTAACTGAATGAGCTGATACAGTTTTTTAAAGTTACTTAAGAAGTAGACAAGCCACAGATCCAAACAGAGTAATGAATAGCACGGTGGTGCTAGCGATGTAAATGAATGAGGATCTAGAAGACACAGGGACCATTGGTAGATGCAAAACAGTTCATGGCTTAGTGTGCCATCCTTCCTGTAAAGAGATGGGATGTACACAGATTGTCTTCCCTGTGGATAAACCCTCTGTATAGAGCTGCACACACAAATTGTTTTAAGATTAATTGCTCCTTTGACACTTTTATTACATATGCTAATTTTAACTAATAGTACACATTTATAAACAGTAAATTTAAAATTGAAGTACATTCTGTATTATGACCTAAAAATTTGCTGTTGTTGTCCTATGCCATAGGAGAGATAAAATTCTTGAACTGACAGAACAGTAGTAGCTGTAGGTAACTAAAAAGAATCCCTGAGTTCCAAAACTGAATAAAAGGCTAGTTCTAAGACTAGATCCATAGTTACTTTGGATGGAGTGTACATTCATCTTAGTTTATTAAGAACTACAGATGTATGGATGGGTTGATTTTTCAAAACTGCTTAAGGTTCCAAGTCCAAGTATCTCTCTCTCTCTCTCTCTCTCTCTCTCTCTCTCTCTCTCTCTCTCTCTCTGCATAAGTTTCTTTTCTGACCCTGTTTTACTATGAAGGTCATATAGTGCTTGTTTCATTCACTCTTACAGACCTTGTTGATGCAAAGCGCATTTGTTTTATTTATTTGTTTGTTTGTTTGTAAGACAGAATCTTAAAACCATGAGCCCTGGCTCACCTGAAACTCACTATGTTGGCCAGGCTGGCCTTCACCTTATGGAGCCCTGTGCCCCTCCTGGGAATGAAGGTGGGACCGCTGCTCCCAGCTGTTGCTGCAGGCTTAATGGAGTAACAGTTTTAGATGCTCTTGACATAGTGTCTTGACTCAATAAGTGTAAATTGTTCTTTTAATTAGAGCACTAATCAGTAATATGTTCTGACTAGATATTAATGTTGTCTTCTTTATCTTTTAGTCAACTTCTAGAGATGTGTCTCCTTTCGTGTGAGTATTTGTTCTTTGCTCCGAATGGAAATCCATTCTGTGTTTTGTTTGGTTGGTTCTTGGTTTTGCGACAGAACCTGTGTTGGAAGCATGCTCTTAAGCAGCATCAATGCTTGTTTCTGTTCAATTTGTCCAATAGTGTGAGCATGCAGAAGAATAAGTGGGATGCCACAAGATCCCTGCGATTCAACCAGGATGCACAAAGAGAAGATGGTAAATGCATTATCTGAGTAACACACAAGTGAGGTATAAATAACAGTGTTTGCATTATCATGTGTTTATCTGGGGGTGGTAAGTGCAGGTGAGTGCAGGCACTGTTAGAGGCCAGAAGAGGGTGTCAGATCTTCTGGGGCTGGAGTTACAGGCAGGTGGGAGCGGCCTGATATGGGCTTGATAATGGGTGCTGGGAACCAAACTTGGCTCCTCTTGGAGAAGAGTTTGTGCTCTTAACCACTAAACCATCTCTCCAGCCCCAAGAATTGTCTTTTATAAAGTGTGCTCAATAGGATAAGAACACACATGTGCACATTCTCTTGGTACCAAGCAGATTTTGATCACTAAACCATGCAGTGGGCAGTGTGTTGCTTATGTATCTGTGACTAAGGTCTCTTTTTTACATAATACTTTACTGTAAAAATGACCACATGTATTTTAGGATATGTCTTAGCCTCGTGTTCTTACAACAGAATACTCAAAGGTTAATATTTTATAAAGAAAAGAAGTATATTTAGCTTACAGTTTTGCAGTACCAGAAGAATCACCTTGGCTGTGGTGAAAGCTTCCTGGCTACAGTCCCAGCATGGTGAACGGCACTGTAGGGAGCATGTTTGTTTTTTTTTTTTTTTTTTTTTATCAACCTAACCTTACATGAATTAAATAGGGTCACACAATAACTGCATTGATCTCTTCTAGTTCTGGGGGCCCTAGTAACATAACCACCACACCCGAGCTCTTAAAGGTTCCAGCACCACAGTAGGGGTCAGACTTGGACCACACAATCCTTTGGGTGACATACTCAGCCACATCCAGGAATCTGAAAGACAACACAACTGTCTGTGTATTATCCATTTGCTTCTTGCTACCTTAAATTCTTCACAGATATGTAGAAGTATTAACCTGAAATAAATAATGAAAGATATTCTCATATACCTTTGTTGATTAGTCTTTCTAGAAAAAAATGAAATTATGTTATTCTCATGAAAAATAATGCTCTTTTTTCTTCAGATCAGCGGCGGATGTCTGAAATTACAGGGCATCTAATAAAGATGAGATTGGGTGATCTGGACCGAGTCAAGTCAAAGGAATCAAAAGAAGTAAGGATTATTTGCCAGTGTTCGATACTTATGTAAAACTTTCCTTCGTAATTTTATTTCATCATGAAAAATAGTTAACTGTAATATTAGTTAGGGTTTCTTTTGCTGTGAAGAGACACCATGACCATGGCAACTCTTATAAAGGAAGACATTTAATTGGGGCTCACTTCAAAGGTTTAGTCCATTGTCATCATGATGGGACCATGGAGGCATGCAGGCAGACATGATGTTGGAGAGGTAGATGAGAATTCTACATTTGCATCTGCAGCAGAAAAGAGTGACACTGGGCCTGTGTTGAACATTGAAACCTCAAAGGCCACCCCCAGTGACACATTCCTCCAACAGGGGCACACCTCCTGATAGTGCACTCCCTGTGAGCCTGTTGGGCCATTTTCATTCCAACTACCACAAGTTTATACTATACTTGTGTAAAGTGTTCCTTTCTTGTTTTATTTTTCACATGAAAATATAGAGATGTTTTTGAAAGGGTGTTGAAGGAGAATCTTAGATATTTTTATATTCTGTGTCAGTTAGCCAAAATTCATACACAAATTTCTTGTCATCTTCCATTATCTGTGGTCCATAGGGTCTCTACATCATACATGATAAAGCATGTTATCCCTACAGTGTCACTGAGAGTAGGTTAGCTGTGCATTGTTGGCCAAGTGACTGTGAAGAAACTGCTGGGTCTCATCACCTTTGTGGTATTACCCAGATATTGTCCTTAAGATAAAATGCTGTCTCACTGAAAACCAGGGCTACATGCACTTGTCCTCCCACAAGAATTAACTGTCAGTAATAGCATCATGTGTCAGCAGTGTCTGCACTATAAACGCACTGGAGCTCCTACCCTAACCTGTTTTGTACAATTTTGCTTCCTCATTGGGGCACAAGTCCCTTAATCCAATCACCAACAGCAAACGTAAAATGAAATAAATGGGAACAGGATAGGGTGGGACAAATAAAAGGAAAATTCAGTTATTCATTAAATTCGCAAAGGAAAACAAGCTGTGACCTTTAGTTAGATGAATCTTCCTTAGTGAAAGGGCCTGTAAATTATTAAATATACAATCATTTTTAATTCCTTAACTTCAGCACTAAAGCAGGATCCACAAAAGAAAATTAGAATTCATCAAAATTTAAAATTCTTCTTTAAAAGCACCGTAAAGAGAATTAAAAGACAGCTAAGCTAGGTGATGAGCTAGCCAGAGCTATATAGTGACACCCCATCTCAGAAAAAATGGAAAGAATTAAAAGACAGTTCATAGTTGGGGAGGAGGTGGGCAGCCTGATCTACAAAGTGAGTTCCATGACAGCCAGGGCTGTTGCACAGAAAAACCTGGTCTCGAAAACACCCCCTCAAAAAAAGACTTTTCATATCCAATAATAAATTGTGTAAAACATTTGTCTGATAAAAGGGCTTGTGGGAAAGGAAGAGGAGAGAAATGTGGTAATTAAATTATAATCTTTAATCCCTTGGGAGGCAGTTCAAGGCCAGCTACGGTAATGTGAGACCATCTCAAAGTAACAATGGAGGCTGGAGAGGTGGCACAGCACTTACAGGTACTAGCTACTCTTGGAGAGGACCCATAGGACCCATGTTCAATTCCCAGCACCCACATGCCTGCTCAGAACCCTCTGTAACTGCAGTCCCAGGAGATCCAAAACCCTCTTCTGGTCTGGTATGCAGGTATGCAGCCAAAACACCCATGCACACAAAATAACAAAGTAATTTAAAATAATAATGAGTAAAGAAACCAAACATCCTGAAGAAAGGGATACAAGAAAGCATGAAAGTGTAGCATCATTAGTCATTAGACGTACAAACTAATGTCTCAATGAGATGCTGAAAGTTCTGAAATTTTTGTTTAGGCACTTGTCAGGATGTGAAGCAAATGGAATTCTCCTAGATGATGGCTTGTAGGAGTTGTGGGAAATAGTTTGGCAGTTTTTCATAAATGCCATGCATTTTAGTGTCATTATTCATAATTGAGAAAAACTAGCAAGTCCCCAAAATGATGTCCTTTACCTGGTAAATATGACAAAAATTCTGAGATTTCTGAATTTAAAAGGGCTAGAAAAGAGATAGAGGAAGCTTGACTCAAAATGAGGTGTATGGTCACCTGTAGTCTTGGCACTCAGGAGGGTGAGGCTGGAGGGCAGTCACATTGAGCATCCCTACTCCCCAGGCTTAGTGGGCATTGTCCTAGCTGCTCAACAGTCTCACTAATAACAGAGCTGGGCCCCAGGCCCCTGCCCTTTCTTTTCTCTCTGATTTCTATAACAGCTCAGTAAACCGTTTTCTTTCAAAGAACCCTCAGGTTTAAGGGTTTTTGGTTGCTGGGGGTGTAATTATTTATAGAATGCTCACCCAACATGCTTACGGCCCTGGGTTTGATCCCTAGCACAAATAAATCAGATGTGGTGGTGCAGTCCCCATACTGAAAAAAGGTGGCTACATAGTAAGTTCTTGGCCAGAATACACGAGACCTTCTATAAGGGGTGAGAAGAGTTTGGGTTTAGCAAATAAAGTATACACATTTTTAAAAAATTAAAATATGCCGGACATTGGTGGCACACGCTTTTATTCCCAGCACTCAGGAGGCAGAGGTAAGAGGATCTCTGTTCTCTGTGAGTTTGAGGCCAGCCTGGTCTACAGAGATGGTTCAGGACAGGCTCCTGACACAGAGAAACACTGTCTCAAAAAAAAAAAAAAATTTAAATAGTGGCTAAGAGCTGCATGAGGACTGGCACTCAGAGCCAGCTGTGTTCCTATGCATTTGTCAAAACCCACAACTATGCACTAAAAAGCCTGAGTTTTGTAGATTAAAAATAAAATTTCTTTCTAAATTTGGAAGTGTATCTTGTTATGAGTCAGTCTTTACTTCCTTGAAGGTAACTTAATTTTGCTTCTTTATCCCACAGTTTGCGGGAGGTATTTATTGTAGGCTTGAAGCGCAAGTCAAAGCCTCTGCGCCTGGCAGCGCCCGGCAGAACAGCTCAGACAAAAACCCCAGGTAAATAAGCAAGGAGCAGCAGGTGCCTCTGGCTCTGCAGAGTAAACCACATGAACACTAAAGCACACAGTATGACTTCAGCTTCTCATTTCATCAGATAGCACTGATTTTTAACAAGTCGGGAACACAAACTTTTATAAACATAAAAGTTTTGGTATTTTTTAAGTTTTCTATTTATTGAGTCAGTTTATCGCCATTAGAGTTGGCGATAAAAATGAACACTGCAGGGGTTGTGGAGTGTAGCCTAGAGGTAAAAAGCTCTCCTCGACCACTCAGGGCCCTACATGTGATCTCTAACACCAAATAATAAATTAATAATAATAATAATTATGCATTAGTAGTAATAGCTACAGTGCAACTATGAGTTGGCAAAATGTCATACTCTGTGTAGGTTATGTGTTAGTGTTACTTTAGGAAATCATTGGATCTTCCTGTTCCTTGTTAATTTCTCTCCTCCCCTTTGGTAGTGTATTCTCAGGCTATGACCAAAGAGAACACTGCTCATCCGCATTTGAAGTCTCTTGAATAATCGACTGTCCTAAGACTTATTCTGCCTGAATGGTTGGCAGGCCTGGTTCAGTCGACCCTTTTAATGGGAGGCAATGGTGTATCTCATTCTTAACCAGAAAGTCCCCTATGGACAGTAATATCTTACTTCTCTTAATAAATTAACTGGTAAGTCTTGTGCCATTTGCCATCACAGAGGCACAGGACTTAAGGTACTGAGATGTGAACCCAAGTATTAGAGATGCTAATGTGCCTAGGCTTTAGCCCTGAAATCCACAAAGCTAAAAGATCAGGCTTTCAGTCGCTGTGCTGAGTTCATCTAGCTGCAAGTTTTTACTTTTCTCACATTCTAAATGTTCATTTGTTTCCCTGAAGAAACTATAATGTGTTTCATTACAGTACTGGTCCTGACCTATATATGCAGAGAGACCTATATAGTCTCTCTGGAAAGCAATCTGAATTCCAGATTGCATCCCACCACGGGTTTAGAAGGTGCTTGATGAGCAGCGCACAATCTCAGTGAATGTTGATGTTGTCAAGCAGACAAACAAGGCAGCAACAACATTCTGTTCCAGAGTCAGTCTGACTTTCTTTTCTCTTTAAAAAAAATCTAGGTCTAAAAGTCGTTTTGGTCAAGGGCGTCCTGCATAAAGCATCCTAAAATATAAAAAGAGAGAAGGCACACTCCTGGACATCTGAAATTGTTCATTTCCTGAAGACCTTCAAAACAATGACTTCTAGGTGTTTTACTAGTTGTTCCTGTAAACCACAAAATCATGCTGAGACAAATATATAGTTAGGCTTCATTAAAATCTAATTGTAAATATAAATTTTCTTATATAAATTTCTCTTTGTATAGTTGTAGGCTGTGTAGAAAACAACTACAAACTTTACGTCATTAAGATTCCTAATATTTGTTACCCTTTGTTTATTTGAAAGACAAGAGGCCTAAATTATCAAATGACTGAATTTTGGTAAGACCTTAAGAAATTTAGGGAGACTATTGGTAGTATTACTGTGCATGTATGCTCATCACCATACTTTTTGAGGACTGTCCAGTCTTAGGTGTAGCATTGAAAAATGAATGTTGTACAATGAAATGTCCAGTGATGCTAATATAAGTTGGTGTGAGTTTGAGGAGTGACAAATCTGGAAGCTGTATTAATAGAGTTTCAAGGTGAGGTCATCCCAGAGTCATGTTGGTCCAGAAGGGTTTGTCTTTTCAAGTTAGTATGTGGAAAGTACAGAGTTAATCCAACTTTTGTTTCTTTAGGTTTTTCATGCTTCTTTGTTGGTCACCTGACCCTGAATGACTGGTCATTAGCCTCTCCTCTGTGAAGACAATGACATTCTGAATTTCCTAAAACAGCCTAGGATGGTTTAGGGTAGAATCATTTCAGCTCTGTGCAGTCACTCTCTAAACCATTTCAACAACCCCTTAAACATTATGATTGCTAGTTACTTTAGAGGTGTCTTACAATTTCCAGATAGATTAGATAGCTGGAAATTTCATACATTCAAGAAAAATAAAATAACTATTTTATAAATCAGGTTTTTTTTTCTTCTAGCCAGGTCTGTAGTAAAGCCAGGGGAATGTAAGCATGCACTAAATTATGTGTTGGGAGATTATAAGTCTCTGAAAACCATAAGATAGATACACACTATTTCTACTTCAGTTTTCCTTTGCCTTTCCTGTTCAGAGAACAGGTCTTGATAATATGTAACAGGACAGCAGTTTGAAAAGGAAAGTTCAAGTCTTATACTCAGTTCACATAAAAATTACAATTTCGGTGTATCTTTTACTTGCTATGTGGAACTCAGTTATTTGATAATTATGTTTTTAATATCTGGATATTTTTGTATGTATATAAAGTGTTTTTCAGTTGTCTTGATACTGTGGAAATAGCCTATGCCATATTTTTTTAAGTGTTTCTTAGTACATGATGTGTAAGTCTCACACCTTTCAGTTGCCTCCTGTTGTGATCATTGTAATCAGAAGGAAATCTGCTCTTTGGATTTTTACTATGCGAAAGTGCACATTGCTTCTCCCCCAAGGGGACTGAACTACTGGTTGATACTAACAAACCAGACTTTATTACAATCTGACTCTATACAGAATATGTTTTGTTGTGTCTGTCTGTGATACATGGACAGATGTTTCTTCTGCCAAGTACTTTAAGGATTTCTTTACATTAAATCTGAGTTTACACTTCTTTAATTGAAATAAATGGCAATAACAAAAAATGTGGGGAGAGTCTCTCGATCTGGCTCATTCCAGTGTCTGAAAAGCCTGGAATTCTCTACATTCTACATATTTCTCTGGAAAATTAGCTATGTTACAAGGGGAAGTTCTGAGGTTTTATAGTCATCATTTGAGTATGGAGGCACAGCCCATCACTCTGGAAACTGAAATTTCCCACATTCAAGACACTGCCTGAGGACATTTAGCAAAACATTTAAAGGTTGAAATACTACAGAGTGTCTGGGCATGTGGCCTAATAGTAGAACACCTAACCTGGGTGCACAGGAGTGCCTACGTTTGATCCCATTAGCAAGGGTGAGTGGGAATAGCGCATGAAAGATGGTCTGGCCACAGTGCCGGCTGCACAATTTCTTCATTGCATTTATTACTTTTCTCTGGAATATTTAGTCAGGAATTGTATATAATTGTTTTGGAAGCTAAGGCTGAAACTGTCATATTTTTGCTAATGGCAAATGTAAATAAACATTAAAAAGCCTTTTGTCTCCAAATCTGGCAATAATTCTTCAGCCAACCTCTAGCTATTATTGTATAACTGTTAGGCATCTCCCAGGCCAGAGGCACTAGGTTGTCTAACAAGTCCAGTTCCAATGGGTTAACTTTTCCAGTCTTCCTAAAATCTGGTCTATAGAGGAAGCTAATCCTAGGGCAATGTTACAGAATTGTTGGGAGTGAGTAAATTAATAGGTGTAAATAATTAATACAGTAATTTCTGGTTTATAGTAGTCTCTACATAAATATCATCTATTGTTGAATTGATATTAATATTTGTTTGAAAGGTATTTTCAAATTCTTTAAGGTGAAAGTTTATTGTACCGCTACCTTTAATTTGAATTTCTAAGGGGTGTGTGTGTGTGTGTGTGTGTGTGTGTGTGTGTGCACGTGTGCATGTGCATGTGGTTAGGAAGAGTCTTTGCTTAGCCATTTTGTCAGAACTGCCCCCAGCCCATCTGCTAAGTTAGTTGGGCAAGAATGCCCCCTCCCACACTGCCCACTCTCTGATTACCACCCATGGGGGATGAGGGTCCTTGTTCTGCTACAGGTGATGTCTGGCCACCTGGCTCATCCTCGGCCAGAATCATCCTCCCCAACTTCTTCCCTGTATTTTCCGTTCTCTGACCCCACACTGCTCTTGACAGCAACTTCCTCCTTGTTTGGCTGTGCTCAGAATTGAGCCCAGTTTCTACGTGGCTTGGTCCCTGTGCTTTCACTGCATTCCTAGGTGATGGATGGAGTCTGTTGTGCTTTAACAGGTTCCATTGGTGGTTTTCTTTAGCAGTGTGTAGTGTTTGGATCTAGAAAGGAAGCACCCGGATTTGTTTCTCTTTATCTCACCTGCCATATCTTTTACAGAAAGTTCTACAAAAGTTTTTGACTCCCTGGCTGTCATTCCAACTTCCTGTAATGTTACACACAAAGCAACTCTAGTGCCTTAAAATATGAGTAACTTTGTATTCATACTTTAATATTCACAAATTGCTACTCTGCTTTAGTCTCATCTACCCAGCAACCAGGATAAACCCAGCCTCATAGCTTAGATTTTCAAGTTCCTTCTGCCCCCAGCTTCTCTTACTGACCACATCCCAGCCACTTGCCCTTCCCAGTGAGTTAGAGCATTTTCACTTTTATAGGAACTGTTCCCATCGTCTGCAAGGCTGTCTTATAAACGACAATGGGTTAGATGTCACTTCCTCATGGGAATCCTTTCCAATGCCCAATGTAAAACAATACTCTCAGCCATCATGGCTTGTTTCTGTGTCTGACATTATGGCTGTGATACAGTGCTTGTTGATTTGCAGTGTCTCCCGTTATAAAGTGTGAGCCCCAAAGAACAGACACAATCTTCCTGACTACTTAGTGTCCCAGACTGTACGATGATTAGAGGAAATGACACCAAGCTGTGTCTCTCTGGAGGTCACCTGTGGCTTGTCTCCCTGAGGCCTGAACTGTCTCAGAATGGCAGCACTGTCTTTCGGCTCTGCTAGATTCTCCTCATCTCACGATGAGTTTTCAAGACCAATCTGTCCTCAGAGAGAGACACCAGTTCCCTGTAGGCCAACACCAAGTTAGTTCTGCTATAACCTCTGAAATCAGCTTAAGTTTAAGTAAAGTGGCATTTTAATAAGCTTCAGCCATGGCCACTTGGTCTCTCAACAGCATTCTAAACATGGATGCTTGAGCAATAAATAGGCACTAAGCATTTTAAATGGAGATACCATAAAGTTATAGGCATCTCTCAGTCTCACCAAAGTGATTATTTTTGGAGCTTCCATCTTACTCCTTTGAAATGTAGTCTCTCATTCGCCTGCAGCTTGCCATTATCCTGCTGAGTTGATGCTAGAAAGACTCAAGACTAGGGTTACAGGTACACACAACCATATTTAGACATTTATGTGGGTGCTAGGGATCTGAACCTAGATCTTTGTGATAGCTTAAGCAAGCATTCTTATGCACTCAGCCTATATGCTAGCCCACCTAACTGAATGCCATGCAGTCCTTTTTGTTGCTGTTGTTGTTTTGAGACAGGGTTTCTGTCTGTAACAGCCCTAGCTGTACTGAAGCTAGCTCTGTAGACCAGGCTGGCCTCCAACTCATGGAGATCTGCCCGCTTCTGCCTCCCGAGTGCTGGGGTTAAAGGTGTGTGCCACCATCACCCCACACATGCAGTCATTTTTTAGCTTATATTTCATCCACTGTTTTCTTACTTATTCTGTACAAAAATAATATTTAGAGTTTGGGAGGTGGATCAGTAGATGCTTGGTGCATAAGCAAGAAGGCTAGAGTTCAGCCCTCAGAATCTGTGTAGAAAATAACATAGTGCCTTGTGCTTGTAATCTCAGCAGCTGAGGAGGCAGATCCCTGGGCCTGGGTAGCCAGTCAGCCTAGCCTTCCATTAAGAGAGTGAATAGAGCCTAGCTTTCACACATCTGAACACATGTATGCTGCCACACATCTGTGCAGCACACACATAATACACTCATATTTAAAATAGTAGTAAGCTAGGTGTTGGTGGCCCATGCCTTTGATCCCAGCACTCAGGAGGCAGAGGCAGGTGGATCTCTGAGTTCAAGGACAGACTGGACTACAGAGCTAGTTCCAGGACAGGCCCCAAAGCAATACAGAGAAACCCTGTCTCCAAAAAACAAACAAACAAAACAATAAATAAATAAAACAAAAAATAAAATAGTAGTACAGAGAGAAAATGATGAGCAGGTTCTCAGAGATGACACCTTTGAGCTCCACCAGGTGCACGTAATGAATGTGGGGAAAGCAGCTGAAAACACATCTAAGACGGTCCACACACATCAAGTACATGCGTGCATTCGCAAACATAATTACAGTAACACTGTTGAAGACAAAGTTTTGAGAAGGATAATTCATCACTCACATGGAACCCCGCTAAGATCCACTTAGCAGAAGCCATGGAGGATAAAGGCAGTGCTCAAAGAAGATCCTGTCATCCACAGACACGTTCAGCAAATTTGCTGTCAAAGTCAACCTAGACAAAAGAATTTGGGCATGTGTGTACGTGTGCAAGTGTATGTGTGCATCACCATTGTACACAGGACACTTATTATTTACTTCTCTATGGGTAAACAGACCCACATGTGACAGCTTGTCTAAGGGTAATGGCACACACAAATAATTTTGCCGGCATACTTGGTGACACTGTTACATGGAACACATAGATATTCGGCCTGACACATAGTGGACACTCAGAAAAGCCACTGTTACCCAACTACAGGAAGATCCAGCCCCCATATAGGAGGTGGTGCTTGTGCTCAAATCCTACATGACTCACCTCCCTATTCTCTGCATCGTTCTGCACCCAGGACATTCACACAGCCTAGCAAGGCTAACAGTCTCCAGCTTTGTTAGAACTGTTCTGTATCTGTAAGAAACCACTGAAACAAACATGGCAGTTTACATGGCAGTTAATTTTGAGTGAAGTTGTTGATTGTTCTTACCTATGATTAATGTATTTTCTCTAATTAACAAAATTAATTCTTCAATAAGAAATGTGTCACCTTTCCAAATTATCTTACATGAGGAATAAATGTGAGAGAAATACTTATTGGGTTCTGCTTTAGCCACAGTCACAGGTAATGTGTGGAAGAAAGCTGATTCCCTTGTCGTTATTGGAGCTAAGTTTGTTTTTGTTTGTTTTTTAATGATGCCTCATTTTGTCTGCAAATAAGTGTGGTACTCGTCTAATAGGGACTCAGAAGCTGGGGGTGGCATTATATTTGAAAGATCACAAGTGAGCCTTGTGCAAGTGGATTAAGAAGTACTTGGTGATGTTTGACATGGTGATGTTAAGTTACCAGCACAAACATCCACCACAAATGTGCTAAGGAGCATAAAGGAATCAGGACATCATGGACTCCAGTGCCAGGGCCTTTCCTTGAAGGGCTGTGGACTAGGCTATGCGTGCATTCAGTTTTCAGGGTTGGCTTTATGTAAGTGATCATGTGTGACCTGTCTGTAGAAGGAAAGCAGAATTCCGTGGAAAGAGCAGATGGGAGAAAAATTGCTAAAGTAGAGAAGTTGAGAAGGAAGAGAGAAATGGAATGAGGAAGGCTACTTACAAGATTACTTTTAAATTTTATGCTCTTCAAAAGTCAGAATTGCCCATTATGAGATCTGTGAATTTGCATATCTACAGGCTTTATAAGCAGAGTATATAATTGTCCTGGAAAAATAATGGATAAAAATGTTTATGTGGTCCAAATGAATTAAGATAAGTCATAGCAGACAGATCAGTGCAAACACTAAAACATCAAAAATTCCTTTCTGCAAATACTTTTATTAATTTAGCAAAACCACAACCTCTACTGTATAAAATTAAGTTCCAGATTACCTAGCCTGCTACATTTTGCACACTGACCTGTGTGGTTGCCTAGCCTACCATCCTCATTCTTCCCACCAAGGTGGGCGAGGCACACAAATGTGGGAAACACAGGGCAGTTACCCCAGCATGTCCAGAGATGCTATTCAGAGATGGGACAGAGGGATG